TAGGCATGGAAACCAGGAAGTAACTGAAGGAATGTATCTATTTACTAATGCTAGCAACATAAGGATTACAAATATTCCATGCTGATTGAGAGAATGAAGTTCTGCTTTAAAGAGATCCAGTCACCAGGCTATTATTTCAGTAAAACACCTACAATAAGATTATATGTGTACTTGATGTATTTTATGCGTGTTATTTGCTATAAAAGGCTCTCTACTCAAGACATCCAAAGGCCCTGTGATTGCTGCTGGGTGCTGTCTTCTTGGATGTGATCACTCAAGTGACACTCTATAGTGTTCCCCTTTCACTCATTGCTGGCTACCACATCAAATGTTATGTTGGTAGATGAGGTGGGGCAAATGAGCTGGGTCACCACAGACGATAAATATACATTCTCAGAAGAGAAGAGAGCTATGATGTAAGTGGAAGTAGGAATCTGTGCTAGAGGCATTGAGTCACAGTGCAAGTCAATAAAAAAAATTGTTAATATAATAGAAAAATGTATTGTTGGTATTTAAAATACTTGCTCTTTAAGTGCTTTTACATACAGTTTGTTTTTTTTATCTTGGTGACAGGATTTCTTTGTAATATGGATATAAAACTTACAGATAAGATTGGTAACATATTTGCCACTTTCAATAAAAAAATATAGCCATAAATAGCCAATCCTGCTTCCAATGCAACAGTCCTGATACCTACCCTTCATTCATCTGCTAAGAGCCAAGAAAATACCTGATACTTTCGGGCATGCAGCAGTATGTGCTTGGAGTTTACACAAGCCAATGAAAATATATATATATATACACAGTGCCTTGAAAAAGTATTCATACCCTTAAAATTTTCCACATTTTTTCATGTTACAACCAAAAACGTAAATGTATTTTATTGGGATTTTATGTGATAGACCAACACAAAGTGGCACATAATTGTAAAGCGGAAAGAAAATGATAAATGGTTTTCACTTTTTTTTTTACAAGTATCTGTAAAGTGTGGCATTCATTTGTATTTAGCCCCCCGGAGTCAATAGTTTGTAGAACCACCTTTCGCTGCAATTACAGCTGCAAGTCTTTTTGGGGATGTCTCTACCAGCTTTGCACATCTAGAGAGTGAAATTTGGGCCCATTCTTCTTTGCAAAATAGCTCAAGCTCTGTCAGATTGGATGGAGAGTGCCTGTGAACAGCAATTTTCAAGTCTTGAAACAGATTCTCAATTGAATTTAGGTCTGGATTTGATTGGGCCATTCTAACACATGAATATGCTTTGATCTAAACCATTCCATTGTAGCTCTGGCTGTATGTTTAAGTTCATTGTCCTGCTGAAAGGTGAACCTCTGCCCCAGTCTCAAGTCTTTTGCAGACTCTAACAAGTTTTCTTCTAAGATTGCCTTGTATTTGGCTCCATCCATCTTCCCATCAACTCTGACCAGCTGCCCTGCATCTGCTGAAAAAAAGCATCCCACAACATGATTTATATTTGTAAATATTTAATTAATATCAAATTAAGAATTTGATCCCCTACTGATTTTGAATGTTTGCCCACTTTCAAAGAAATGATCAGTCTAAAAATCGAATGTTAGGTGCATTGTAACACTGAGAGACAGAATAGCAGCAAAAAAATTCAAAAGAAATGCAATTCTAACAAATTATGCACTCATTTGCATGTTCATGAGGGAAATAAGTATTTGATCCCCTTCGCAAAACATGACTTAGTGCTGGGTAGCAAATCCCTTGTTGGCAATCACAGAGTTTCCTGTGGCCACCAGGTTTGCACACATCTCAGGAGGGATTTTGGCCCACTCCTCTTGGCAGATCCTCTCCAAGTCCTTAAGGTTTGGTGGCTGATGTTTGGCAACTCAAACTTTCATCTCCCTCCACAGATTTTCAATCGGATTAAGGTCTGGAGACTGGCTAGGCCACTCCAGGACCTTAATGTGCTTCTTCTTGAGCCACTCCTTTGATGTCTTGGCCGTGTATTTTGGGTCATTGTCATGCTGGAACACCCATCCACGACCCATTTTCAATGCCCTGGCTGAGGGAAGAAGGTTCTCACCCAAGATTTGCCCCAATCATCGTCCCTTTGATGCAGTGCAGTTGCCCTGTCCCCTTAGCAGAAAAACACACCCCAAAGCAGAATGTTTCCACCACCATGTTTGACAGTTGGGATGGTGCTCTTGGGGTCATAGGCAGCATTCCTCCTCATCCAAACACAGCAAGTTGAGTTGATACCAAAGAGCTTGATTTTGGTCTCATCTGACCACAACACTTTCAACCAGTCCTCCTCTGCATCATTCAGATGTTCAGTGGCAAACTTCAAACGGGCCTGGATATGTGATTTCTTGAGCAGAGGGACCACTGCAGAATTTCAATCCTTGTTGGCGTAGTGTGTTACCAATTGTTTTCTTGGTGACTGTGGTCCCAGCTGCTTGGAGATCATTGACAAGATCCTCATGTGTAGTTTTGGGATGATTCCTCACTGTTCTAATGATCATTGACACTCCACAAGGTGAGATTGCACCAGACCTAGGGAGACTGACAGTTGTTTTGTGTTTCTTCCATTTGCTAATGATTGCACCAACTGTTGTCACCTTCTCACCAAGCTGCTTGGCGATAGTTTGGTAGCCCAGTCCAGCCTTGTGTAGGTCTATAATCTTGTCCCTGACATCCTTGGACAGCTCTTTGGTCTTTGCTATTGTGGAGAGTTTGGAATCTGATTGTTTGATTGCTGCTGTGGACAGGTGTCTTTTATACAGGTAACAAAATGTTATTAGCAGCACTCCCTTTAAGAGACTGCTTCTAATCTCAGCTTGTTACCTGTATGAAAGACACCTGGTGGCCAGAAATCCTGCTGAATGATAGGGGATCAAATACTTATTTCCCTCATGAACATGCAAATCAGTGCATAATTTGTTAGACATGCATTTCTTTTGAATTTTTTGTTGCTATTCTTTCTCTCAGTGATACCCCTACAATTCAATTTTTAGACTGATAATTTCTTTGTGAGTGGGCAAGCATTCAAAGTCAGCAGGGGATCAAATACGTATTTCCTTCACTGTATATATGATATATAAGCTGCTGGGAATGCTGGCATTAAAGTGGATGGAAACAAAAAACAGTGGAATGAACCAATGTACAACAGCTATGAAAAACTGAAGCCTTAACTTTCTTTTTGACTGGAGTGTACCATTAATAGCCAGTAACACAAGATATAGTAAACTTCAAGAACTGTCTCCTGAAACCTTCCAACAGTAGATATCAGTGGCTTCCTGCTTCCTGACTTTTACTGCATTAAAGCAGGACTTCCTGTTCTGTGGAGCAGGATGTCTGGATGTCATTCAAAGAAATGTTTCTCCTTAGTGTAAGAAGATGACAGGTTATTGTTTCAGACTAACAATTGCTTTGTCTCTGATATTCTATTTCTCAAACATCTGTATTATTTTTGTCAGTTAAACTCGTATGTAGAAGTCTCTTTAACAGAGTTATATCATGCTCTAAAGGAGTTTTAGCAAGAAGAAAGGATACGAGTAAAGGCATAGACTTCTATTCTTTGCAGAAAGCAAATATATATTGATAGAAACTAAATACCCATACATGACAGATTTGGTTATTTTACATCTAGCAATAAGATAATAATAGTGTCATTTTATGGGTAACAGATGTAAGTTTGTGCTGTAAAATTGCAAGAAAACTTGCAATGCCTGGTTAAAACATTTGGACTTTTTTGAACTAACACATCTAAAACTTGGTGAAACTTTGTTATTGACCGGTTTTAAGAAATATATTTATTTTTTAAATCAGAAATATTATTTATTAATGTTTAAGGTATACAAAGTACAGAATATAGTACCATATATAAAACAGTGCGAACGAATCAGCCATTAACAAATGGAACAAAAGTACTAAAAGAAAGTTTCCTGTGTTACCAGTTGTCCAATGAACAAATAAATACAACAAACCTGTGGTAAAATTATGCAGTAAAGGCATATGCGGAACCCCACACACACAGAGCAGCAGATGTACTTCTCCAGCAGTGGACCAGTGGAAAGTAGAGCAGATAGATCTCCCTACATGGTAATAGAGGTGAACCTGCGCAGACAGAGCACATCATGAAAGGATAATTACAACAGCCTATGCATTATCAAATCAAATGGGGCTAGACCCGGAGTGGCCAACCATGCTTCCCAAAGTTTCTTAAATTTACCTGGTCATTCCCGATGCTGGTAAATTAAACAATCGTATTGTAAGATGGTTCCCATATTCTGCCTCCAATCATCCATAGTAGGGGGAGTTTCTGATTTCCAACACACAAGAATATCCTTGCACGCATTGAACAGGGCCTTGGAGAGGGTTTCTAGTATAAATGTATCTTGGGTAACATTATCTAAAATACCTAAAAGGCTTGTTTAGGGTCTAGAATTAGGTTAGTTCGAAAACAGTAAATTAAGTGTGTTGACCACTTCCTCCCAGTATCGATGAAGTTTCGGGCACCGCCATAGCATGTGAATAAGAGCCCCATGGTCCCGCTTACATCTGCCACAAAGAGGGTCCTGGTGTAGCCCCATAATACACATTTTAGCTGGTGTAATAATGAGCCCTAAGTACAGTATACAGTTGTGATATATACGGTGAGAAACCGTCAGCGAGCTAAGATGGATAGACTGCAGAGCAGCTTCCCACTGGTCTTCCTCAAAAGCCCACACATCTGTCTCCCACTGCCTACTAGCCCTATTTGGGTACTTTTCTAAATAGTCTGACAGAAGCATGGTATAGCAGCGAGAAAAAAGCCCTTTAGTAGTTGTAACTGAGTGCAAATAATTAAAAATGGGGGTGGGGGAAGAGTGCCATAAGGCTGATGGGCCTTGAGCGGCAACTGCACGTTTTAACTTTTAAGAAATAATTTAACCTATGTCCATATGTAAATTCCTTAGCTCAAAGGAGTGAATGGTGCTCAACGATCCAGAACAGGGTGAAAGAACAGCGCATGTTTAATCCTCGCTCACGTTCAAGTTGTCTTCTGTTCGGTCAGAAATTCGGCTATCTAGAACTCAAAGGTTATAAGTCAAAAATCTATGCCGTTCTCACTACAGATCAACTATGGATTCATAAAAATGAACAGGTAAGCGATGTAAGATTAGATGCTCTTTTGAAGTACATCTTAAAGTCACATTCCACGCTAGAACTAAGCTTAAAATGGCTCCCACCCACCTTCTAACCCTTTTACTAATTACCTTGTAAAAGGAAGATGCATATACCTATCTATTCTTAGGGTGCTCTGGTCCAGTCACATGATCTTTTCAGCGACCGGCATCAGTGGAGAGGAGAGAGCGCCGACAACGGATGAATTGCCTGGGAGGGGACATCATCCATAGGCTCATTATGGGGCATCCATTGTCTGCTGTCTCTCCTCTCCCCTGAAGACACCCTGAGAGTAGGTCCTTTTACAGGGTAATTAGTATAGGTGTTAAAAGGCGGGTGGGAGCAGTTTTGAGCTTAGTTAGTTCTAGCCTGGAATTCAACTTTAAGCCAAAACTTTGGAGAACTTAGTTGCTGAAACTCCTTGACACAATGAGAAATGAGAGGCAATCTCTCAAAATCAATTTCTCTTAGTTGGCATTGTAACAAATAGCCCCCTTGTAAGATATTCCTGACTCCTGGCAAATTCAAAATGTCAGCTTATCCCTTATTTTCAGTACTGGTGACAGTGGTCATAAGGACAAATAGAGAGGGTTTATCTCCCCACCAAGAAAGCAATAGAAACCTGGCCTGAAATATCTTCACTAGGCTAGATGAATGGCGCTATTATCAATTAAAACGTTTTTGGGGAAATCTCCCAAAACCCCTGAGAACGAAAAAGGATTGGAACTTGTTTGAAAGGTTGTTGGATTCACGGGGTGATGGGAAACATGGAATAGCTAAAGTATATGGAATTCTCACAGATCTAGACACAAACACTAAACCATTGCACATTGTGAATTGGGAAAGAGATATGGGGGTGGTATTAGATGAAGGAAAACAGAAGAAAATAAATAGATTAGTTCACGGAAATGTAAGTTTGAGGGATGTAGAATTAAATTATAAATGTTTGACAAGATGGCACATTGTTCCGAGTGTGGAGGGTAAGATAAGTGCGGAGAAATCACAGTGGTGTTGGCGAGAGTGTGGGGAAGTGGGGACAGTTTATCATATTTGGTGGGAATGTCCAAAGATTCAAATATTCTGGAAAAAAATAATATATTTAATAGAGAACATCATTGAAATGAACATCGGGTTAGATCCTGGGTTGTGCCTGTTACACAGTTCAGAGATATCAGTTAGTAAATATAAGAAATTAGGTTTAGGGTACTATTTGAACACAGCAAAAAGCCTGATCCCCAAATATTGGAAGAAAAAAGAAATACCGAAAGAGGAGGAGTGGATAGAGAGAGTAAACTGGACTAGGGAGATGGAGAAGACATATTATATACAGGAAGATAAGCTGGAGATATATCTCGCGAAATGGGAAAAATGGGAAAATTTTGTAATAAGTATGAGAAAGTGAAAAGTAAAACGTTATAGAGAAAAATTGGGTAGGATATGCTTGCTTTGGATACAAGTCAAGGAAATGCAGAGTGGGGGGGGGGGTCAAGGTTTTAAGAGGGGGTAATTGAAATAATAAGAAATAATCGTATATTTATGATGATTGAGATGAAATTGTTTATTGTTATTTCTGTGAAAATTATTAATAAATATTTAAATTAAAAAAAAAAAAAAAAAAAAAAAAGAAACCTGGCCTGACTTGAAGTTTTTAACATACCCTACTCTATAAACAACAACAAAAAATACTTTAGATAAATTTTAGGATAACATAACTTCAGGAGGTAATGCGCTTATATAAAAAAAATATAGGCAAATAAATGAAAACATACATTTTATTAACTCAACCCTTAAGCATATTACATAAGAATTCATAAGAATTGTGATGTCTTATTTTTTCTTGGTAGCAAAAAGGGAAGCAACTATTTCCTTTTCATAGATAAAACTGAAGTGACAGTAGCGTCAGTGGGGCTAACTGGTGATAACTTGTATTTAGAAAATTTTAGTTCTATGAGTACAGTGACTTTTGTGCATTGTCTGTGGAGTAAAGTTAGGACAAAGTGTTGGATATTCTTTCTACATCAGTAACCAAGAACAAAATAGCAAACAGCTAGGCATTGATTGTCTGCAGAAGGAAGTCAACAATGGCATTCTCCTTGCATGACAGTTTTCCTTTAAAACAGATCTTGCCCCAAAAAACAAGGTACCGCTATAAATAATAATAAATAAATAATTGATTAATAATAAATAAATAATAATAAATCTAAGTTTTTGTAGTTTATAGTTCCCCTCTTATCACACCCCTGCCCTCCTAGCTGGGGGTCTTCTTTATCTGGAGGGGGAAGGAGGAAATTTCTGTACTACTGCATAGGGGTCCTCTCATCACTCCTCTGTAGTCCTCCTATCCAGGGGTCTCCTTTAACTGGAAGGGGTGGTTCCTGTATTCTTGTATCTTCCTGTGTCTGTCTATATTCCCAGGAGGATGAGAGGGGGTCCCTTCTATTCACCGCCATGCACTCTTCCTATTAAGGGGTCTCCTTCTCCTAGAGGAAGGTCAGTATTCCTGGATTCAGTATTCTTCTGATCACCCCCTGCACTCCTAGGTGGTAGGGCATCTCTAAATATTTCCCCTGTATGCATGTGCCTGTGTGTGTGTGTGGAGGGGTTTTCGAAGTTCCAGTTGGGTGTCTCAGATTACTCCTTGCAATAGGAGGGGGATCTCTGATTATGGGGGCCCCTAAATACTTCTAAGTCTTCATTAATGATTGAACTTTGTAGGGATGGTTCAAAGTTACTATAATTCCAATGAGAGGGCAGCATTAATTACTCCATTATGGGGGGTCTCCTTTTAATGTGTATTCTCATTTGTGGGTGTCTATAATTCCTTCATTATGGTATCTCTGTTCTCCAGTGTAGGGGTCAATTGTTATTCTGTGTCCTTCAGTACATAGCCCCTCTCTTTACTCTGTCCTCCAATACCGGGTACCCCCTTTAGTCTGTGCCCTCCAGTGTATGGGTCTCCTGGTTTGGAAGGGGTCTCTGCTGAATTGGAGATGAGGGGAGGGGTACCTGGGCACCCCTCCTCTTCTTTCCCACCGGCTGTTGTAGGGCATATTTCAGGATGGAGAGCAGGGGAAGGGGCCAGTAAATATGTAATTTGCCAGCCCCTTTCTTTTGTGAATGAAAACAGTGGGGTTGATTTACTAAAGGCAAATAGACTGGAAGTAACTGCACTAAACGTTCTGAGGGGAACATGCAAAGAAAAAAAAAAAAACAGCATTTTTGCTTGCACATGATCGGATGAAATAAAGCAACAGAGCTTTCCGTCATTTCAGAGCTTCCCCTCAGATATAAAGCAAGTGCACTTGCAGTGCACTTGAAGTGCACTTGCAGGTGCAGTGCACAGTATATTTACTTTTAGTAAATCAACCCCAGTGAGTGTACAGGAAGCTGCTCATCACAGAGCACTTCCCAATCATTCACTGTCCAGTGCAGCTGAGGCTGTAAAGCAGGGGTGTCAAACTGGCGGCCCTCCAGCTGTTGCAAAATTACCCATCATGCCTCTGCCTTTGGGAATCATGCTTGTAACTGTCAATCTCGCAATGCCTCATGGGACGTGTAGTTTGGCAACAGCTGGAAGGCTGTTTTGACCCCTGATATATCAGCAAAAACCCCTAGTAGAGCTCCTAAAAAATGTAAATAATGACAAAATAGCAGAAAATAATATTAAAAAGAAAATAATACAAATAAAAAAAACTGCTGTCCACTGCCCTACTGGTACTGTCCTCTATGGGGAGGGGCTGGGGGGGGGGGGGGGGGGGTGCGAGGTTAATGAACAGAGTCTTTGTCCCAGGTGAAAAAATGCCTAGCTTCACCACTGGCGATGAGAACAAGAAAAATCTTGGGTTGGAAGTAGCTACCACATCCTGATATAATTTATTATACTGTGTAGGTCATCTGATGAGAACAGCATATATTCACCACTGCCCCATTTAAGCTATTCTGATATTGTACAGTGGGGAGCAACACTTTCAGAACCCCACTGCATCAGGACTGGGTCTATGTTAAACTCCAAATTATATGTTGTGACCTCAAAGACCCAATCCCCCCCCACTCTGCTGCACAATTCACATATCGGAATAGCTCTGCAGAGCTCATGGGGCTCTCCTAAAATAGTAAAAAAAAAAATGAGTTTTAATATGACTAGGGTTCATGCATACAGAGCATTTGTTCTTCTCTAAATACCAGAACTCATGTTGGAGAAATGTGGTAATAAAACCACACCTAAAGTTGCATATTGGAAATGCGTTTAGGTGCATCATGCATTTGAGTGTTAATGGGTTCCATTGGCCTAAATAATAATTTATTCTGGCCATTGGAATGCATTAATGCAGAAACGTGCCTAGTGTTTATGTGCATTTACATGTGTTTAGGCGCATCAGTATTTTTTCTGCCCAAAAGCTCCTCTCCTGAACGGTCATGTGATTTTTTTTCAGCCTGTTAACGCTCTCTGCTAAAAAGGCATACATATGTGTTCCAAACATTATTCAACGCCCCAATGCTAGTAAAGGCGGTGTTTAGGGACTATAGTGTACATTTGGAATTGTATTCAGAATCAAATCCTACAAGGACGTTGTAACTACCCCAAATGCAACTAAAATGACATCAATTGTTTATGTAATACAGTAGTAAATGGTTCTTATGTGGTTTCTTCATTGCCACAATTATTTCAACCCCTTAAAAGACTACCACTCTGAGAACAGAGGTTTAACAGGTGCTGTTTTCCATCAGGTATTGAAAAATACCTGTGGATTTCACCGAGAGCAATCAAGCTCATTAGGCAGCTTTAAAATGACTGTGATACTCAGCTCCTTCTACTTTACTGGTGTGGTTACAAAACATGGTGAAGGCAAGAGAATGGTCCAGGAAGACAAGAGAAGAGGTGATTTCTCTTCACAGGAAGGGCAATGGCTATAAAGATTGCAAAGATGTTAAACATACCAAGAGGACACCTTAGGAAGCATCATTCGTCAAGGCAAAGGGCACTGTTGAAAACGCTACCTGGTCGTGGCAGAAAGAAGATGCAGACTTCGACTGCTGTGCGCTACCTGAAGCGTAGAGTGGAGGAGAAGTCCCCGTGTGACATGCTGAGGAACTGAGAAAAGATTTGTCAGATGTGGGTACAGAAGTTTCAGCCCAGACAATAAGACGCACACTGCGTAATGAAGGCCTCCGTGCCAGAACTCCCAGGGCGTACCCCCTTGCTGTCTCCAAAGAATAAGGAAGAGTCGACTGCAGTATGCCAAAAGCCATGTGGACAAACCACAAAAGTTGTGGGATAGTGTTCTGTGGACTGATGAAACAAAATTAGAACTGTTTGGGCCCATGGATCAACGCTATGTTTGGAGGAGGAAGAACAAGGCCTATGATGAAAAAACCACCTTTTACTGTGAAGCATGGTGGAGGGTCAATCATGCTTTGGGGCTGTTTTGCTTCTGCAGGTACAGGGAAGCTTCAGCGTGTGCAAGGTACCATGAATTCTCTTCAGTACCAGGAGTATTTGGATGGAAACGTGATGCAGTCCGTCACACACACCTGAGGCTTGGGAGACGTTGGACCCTTTCAACAGGACAATGATCCAAGCATACCTCCAAGTCCACTAGAGCATGGTTGCAGAGGAAAGGCTGGAACATTTTGGGAGTGGCCATCGCAGTCACATTAAGACTTTAAATCCGATTGAGAACCTCTGGTGGGACTTAAAGAAATGCAGTTGCAGTGCGCAAGCCTAAGAATGTGATTCTGAACTGGAGGCCTTTGCCCATGAAGAATGGGCGAAAGATACCCGTAGATCGCTGCAAGACACTTGTGTCAAGCTATTGCTTCACGTTTAAAAGCTGTTATAACTGTAAAAGGATGCTGTACAAAGTACTAAGATTGAATGTCACTTGGGGGTAGAATCCCTGCTAATAGCCTCTACTAGACTTGCACTAGAAAAACAATTTGTGGTTATTTCATTATAACTGTTATGTTATATTTTGTCTTCTGACCTACAAGTGCATCTTCTTAATGTAAATGTAAGCAAGATGACTGGAATGATCAAAAGCAATGTCAAACTGGCCAAAACACTCAATTTCAGTGGGGGTTGAATAATCTGGACACAACTGTATGTGTTCATAGACACCTAGGCTAACATAGAGGCCTGCCAAATTAGTAAAGGCATCCCCATTTGGTAGCTCTGTGTGCATGAGGTCTAAAAAGATTAAAAACTCAAAAATGTGTCATCTAACCCTCTGTAGGCAAAATCCTGCCATGTAATGATTATCTGTTCCTGCATGCAGTTTTTTAAAATGGGCATTGGATTTGTTTATAATCGATATGAATGGCTCTACTATCCGAGATGCAAGGAACAAAACCTTTGAGTTGATCACGCACGCTAAAACCTTCAGGTTAAATACATTATATTTCATTTATATCTGTGATCAAATTTGCATGTTTATTGTGAAATAAATTCTCTCGATCCCCCCACCAACACAGTCATTCCTCCCACGCTGTGTTCTTCTGTTAGGGAGCCTTTCTGGCTGGCAGAACACAATGAATACTGCTAGCGGCTATAGCTACCTGCAGTAATCACACAATAAAAAAAATCCAACAGTCAATCCAAAGCCTTTCGATGGATCAACTTGGTTACAACCAGCCTGCCCATAGATGGATCAAATCTCTGCTGGTCTCTAAACACTGACTGAGATTCAATTAATCTATGGTTGGTTTTATGGTGCCTACACACATTTTGCAATCCTACTGCTTAAGTGGTGCGACTATTCAATATTCTTACCAAATCGACCTTTGTGTGAGGTTACTTTTACCAAGGATACTCTAACAATAGGTGAAAAACAAAGGTGTTGAATACAAAAGTTTGCAAACATTTAGCCTACTATGTCTATGCCTGGTACCTATAGAGTTGTAAAAAACAGCCAGATTAGGCTTAGTATATTTAGCATGTGTGACTGTAAAGCACACATAGAAGCTTAAAGCTTAGATACAAACTCAAAAACATAAAAATCTAACATATTGCAGCCTACCCATTCTTAAATGTGATGTCTGAATATATTTTTATTTTTTCTGGTTTTTTAGCCTTTCAGGTGTTAAAGTGTTTACAAAGACTTAATTTTTTTTTTACCTCCATGCATTCTATGTATGAAGGTAAAAAACCTTATGTGCATAGTAGCCCCCCTAACACTTACCTGAGCTCCATCCAAATCCAGCAATGTCCACGAGAGCCTCGGTTCTCCAAGGACTCTCACTCCTGATTGGCTGAGGCAGCAATGGAATAAATTGGCTTCCACTGCTGTCAATCACAAACAGTGAGTCAGGAGAGGGAGGGGACAGGGCCGAGCTGCGGCACCATGAGTGAATGGACACGCAGAGCCATGGCTCGGAAGCGTGCCTGCTCGGGTGCCCCCCCAGCAGGCTGCTTGCTGTGGGAGCACCCAACAGGAGGGAGGGGCCAGGAGCACAGTCGTGGGACCCGAGAAGAGGAGGATCTGGGCTGCTTTATGCAAAATCACTGCACAGAGCAGGTAAGTATAGACATGTTTTTTATGTTAAAAAAAAGATATCACTTTAATCTTGCTAGTAACACACTTCCTGTCCTAAGGTGACAACGCTTACTCACTGTATTGTATCTCTAGAGGAACAGGGATGTCGTCTTATGCTGCTCTCCTGATTTAGACTACAAACACCTCCCCTTCCCTCATCTCCGTTTCAAAGGTGCGGAAGGTATTTTGTAGTTCATACAAAGTAGTTGGAATGGCTAATAACATTGATTAAGATTGTCAATTCAGTGCACAGGACGTTACAAGAGCACTGAATTTCTGACAGTATCAATAGGTATTTTTCTCTACTTGCAGAAAATTTAATTAGCCTGAAAAAACGAATGCTCTCACCACATCTAAGGACTGGGAAGCTGCAGTAGATAACTTATTTGTTCTTGGGTTAAGGTATGCTCACCACATCTAAGGACTGGAAAGCTGCAGTAGATAACTTATTTGTTCTTGGGTTAAGGTATGCTCTAAAGTGTATGTCCAGCTATTTTTTTAATTGTGGATAGAGCGGGGAAGAATTCTGGTATCTGGGGCTCATTTAGAAAAATTTCCTCTCATTTACTGCCCCAGGGACAACAGTATAGCCAGAGAGTGTGTAAGATAAAAGTCTGACACATACAACAATAAAAGCTAACTTGGGTTTTAGCCTTTCCTGCACTATTAAATAAAAGTTGCTATTGCTGTCAGATATTTTCCCTCACTTTCTGCCTGGTGAAAATGTTATCACCAGGACTATAAGTGAGTGGAAATGTCTCTAATGAAGCCCTAGAAAGCAATAAAAAACAGTCAGGGGTTCCAATCTTTTGGCACTCTATCGAAAACTATCAAAAAAATGGGCAGGGAATACTGGCCAGCTTGGATCTTAAATTGTATATATATATTTTTATATATGATATTTTCTATTACAAAATGCCATTGTTTCCTAGTTTCACTGCAGACTCAGAGAGGGAGAAGAAGGAATGGATGGAAGCCCTGTTGGAATGTATATCTGAGTCCCTGTCAGACTATGAGGTTGCTGAGAAGATCTGGTCAAACAAAGCCAACAAGTCATGTGCAGATTGCCGAACCTGCAATCCCGACTGGGCCTCCATTAACTTGTGTGTAATCATATGCAAGCAATGTGCAGGTGGGTTTTAGTAATGACATAATACAAAATCTGTTATTTGTTCCTAAATGACAGTGAAGCTCCAATTTTGTAAAGGCCAACTACACATACTTTTATGAGTTTAGCAAACTTTATTTCATTTCTATACACATTTTTATTTATTTATTTATTTAATGTCTTCCCACGGTATACATAAATGTGGTGGCATGGAGCTTCCAGCACAGTGCCCACGCTGTCACTGACAGCTCCTGGTCACACAGTTATGATCGGGAGCAATTAGAATTGGCTGCCAATTGTGATCCCTGTGACAGCCGATAATAGTGATCACATGATCAGGAATCGTATGTAACGCCTTTGGAATTATGAACTTTAAAGGGGTTAAAATGAGATATTCCAATGGAAATGCTGAACTTTTTAAAATTGTTTATTGGGGGGTTCAGCTTTTACTCTATTTCATGTTTATCTCAAGTGTTGTGACATTGCCACTATAGCATCTCTTTAGATTCAGAAAAACTGCAGTAAAACTAAGGGCATGCTAGAAAAACTGCAGTCACCAAACAATATATTGAAACAGCTGTACACCAGCTTAATCATGCAATTATTAGCCAATCATGTAGCAGGAAGACAGAGCATAAAATCATGCAGATTCAGCTCAGGAGCTAAAATGTATGTAAACCTAATACTTTTTTAGTTTTGAATGGCAACGAGGAGTTTTAACCTCTGTCAGATTTTAATTGCTGTCAGTGCTCCTGCAGAGGAGATTTACTATCCCTGCTTGTCTTAGTGGCCACTATCTTTGGTACACTTGACTTGTTGATAGGAGATATTGGTGGAGAATGGCCAGACTGGTTTAAGCTGACAGAGGGATTATGGTAACTCAGATGACCACTCTTTATAACTGTAGTGAGCAGAAAGCATTTCACAATGCACAACACTTTGAACCTTGGGGTGGATGGGCTACAACAGGGGCACTCAACCCATGGCCCTCTGATGTGCCCCGTGACCTCATGCTCTGGGATGGCAAGTGGGCAAGCCCAGATCGCAAGTTGCCGACCTGCCATCCCAGACCATCAAAGTGCATGAAACCACTAGCGGAGGAAGCAAGCGGCCGTGGAGGAAGGAGGAGCCTCATAAGCCAGTGCTTCCTCCATGGCACCGGCTCCTGTCCCATGCTACCATGTGCATTTTACCTGGAACCTTTCTAGCAGCCAGGAGAGCAATGCCAGCAGAAGCTGGAAGAGAAAAAGGTAAATGTATTAAACATCGCACATACACTGCACATTTGCCTTGGGCATATTAGCACTTTTAAAAAAGGATTAGGCAAATTTCACACTGGTTCGCAGGTGCACTGCTTTCCTGTGGGTTAGCTGTAGTGAGCCATAGACTTCTAATATATCCTGCGGGTTTGGTGCGCTTTCTGAAAGTGCACCACACCTGCAAAATATATTAGAAGCCTATGGCAAAGCGCGGGTAATGCACAGGTAATCACTGTGAAAGCAACCTTAAAGGGGCTCAGGACAGTAAGGGCTTGTTTCCATTTGCAGTTTGGTGACCCCGCCCAATACTCCAGGGGGCCTGTGCAGCCTCCCTGTCATGTTCTGTTTTACACTTGGACACTAGGGGCAGCGGGGGTGGCATATACAGGAACCGATCCTCTCCATTTTCCTCCTGCAACCACTGAAAGCTGGCTTCTCCTAATCTACCTACCCCCTGCATTCAGGGGCTGCAGGAAGAAAATGTGCTATTATGCTATGCAAAATAAAAATTTAGAAACTTTGATCCATTTAATTTCATAGAGGCCTGCGACCAATTACTAAATCACTTAAGGGGCCCTCGCTCTTCAAAAGGTTGAGCACCCCTGGGCTACAACTTCAGATCACTTCCAGTTCCACAATTGCCAGTCAAGAACAGAAAACTGAGGCTGAAGGGGGCACGGACCCAGCAAAACTGGACCATTGAAGACTGGAAAAATGTGGCCAGCTCAGATAAATCTTGGTAGATGGTAGGCCAATCACCAGATCTTATCCAATAGGAGTAGGTTCACCCTGATGCAGGTGTGTGAATGCATGTAAATCACATGTTCCTACACTTGCAGGCAGAGGCAGGTGCACTTAATGGCACCCCCGCATACTTGAAAATGCAAGAAAAAAAACACACAGGAGTGTGCAGCTGACAAATCACTAGCATGCTTGTCTTTGCTGTACAGGTCAACACAGAAGTCTGGGAACAAGCATCTCTAAAGTGCAGAGTCTAAAACTAGACATCAGCATCTGGAGCAATGAAATTGTACAGGTATGACTCAACTCAGTCTGCAGATCTAATCATATTTACTGCTGTTAAATAGTAATGCATTGTGGATCTACTCTGATATTCCTAATTGTCTGTCTGTGCCAATTTTAACTTGTCTGTAAAACTGAGAAGTCAGTCATTCATGCGAGCAAGATCATCCAGATGTCTGCATATAACTGTTTATGACTGACTCTACAAGTGACTTTACAAGTGTATGTAAAAATAGGAGCAACAGAAAGAGGAGGGGAGCTGTTAGCAGCATCATATCAGGGGAAAACAATAAAGATCAGAACTGGTTTTGGATCTTAACCAATTATTATCTCCATCCCAAAGCAGCCACAGCTTCATCTGTAGGCACCAACAAGATGAACCTTTGTCAGTTGCTGTACTGACAGGCTGTTACAACCACTAGCACGTGATAAAGAGGAGTGCATTTTATTTGGAAATGAGGAGAGTGACTGCAATATACCCAGAACTAAAGTGTTTGTATCTGTGTCCTTGTGTACCACTACCCTCTTAGGAGTCGCTAGAGATCTGGGTCCCCCCCTATAGTCCTGCACAGCCTGGCAACAGGCATTTCCTTCCAGCCCTGCACTCCAGAGACGGTAAACAGTCATTGAACTTGTTTATTTAGAGTTTTATTAGGAGATTTAAACTTGGATATGGATGAGGGATACATGGGATGCCCAAGGAACTGTTGAACTGAGGACAATGTCCTGGAACTATGTACAAGTCTTCAGAAGGGTTTTCTCTTCTTGGAGAGCTATCCAGCCTCTCCTGGTGTACCACCTCAGACCCTAGATGAAATCTCCTCTTCAATCAGCTGCCTAAGGGAATCCCTGGGCAAGAGGACCCAGAATCTGCCTCCTTATGATCAGCAGTCCCAGACAGGGGCTAGTCAGGTTTCCCACACAAATGCCCTTTCCCCTTATCTGGGGGCGTGGGATTACACAATCAGTCTTCTCCTGCAAGCTTGTGGGTTGTGGCTGCCTTCAGGCCTTACACTGGGCTAGCTACTTCCCTGCTTCCCAGGGTGTCCTCTCTCAGGAGATGATGAGGCTGAGAGATCCTTTCTTCCATCTCCACCACCTGTAGGTAGACACCTCTCCTGGACCCCCTCTCAGACTCCACACTCCATCCTGCTCACTCCATCTTCTACCCGAACTCTCCTGCTACTGAGCAGGCTCGGTCACTCTTAAGGGCTGCCCTGACCCCATGCAAAGCTCCATGCTTGAGATTAGTCAGGATCCCATGAGAGCAGCTCCTCTTCACCCCTGCCCACTGGGTTATAGAGACTTCTCCAAGTCTCCAGATCAGGGGGGATATCAGTGAGCTGATCTGCAGAGCCTCTCAGTCCTGACCCAAATATGACCCCTCTGGCTATTACACCAGGCTGCTATTCAGTCTCTAACTAAAAAATAATTAACTAGCTCCCCTAGCTTTCCTAAGAGGGTGCTACACTTTGTAGTGGAAAGAAGGAACATTACATCATCAGGAATAAAAAAATGAACACCTTCAGTTGAGGTTTATTATAAAGGTGCCTATACACATTAGCTTTTGGTCGTGATAGTCTTGTTTCTTAGTAACAATCCAGTGTCTGTATGACAGTGCACAACAGTCCTAAACAAGTGTTTTTGTGGAGAAGAAATTATGTTTCAAGTTCTCTGTACAAGAAAAACTGACCACAAATCCACTGTACAAGCATGTTTGACTCTTTTATTATGTCTATGGACAGCTTCAGACAAAAGCTGGGCATCAAAATGCCTGACATTAGTGAGCTGGCTGTGTCTCAATGTATTATGGTCCACTTTACTTTCAGTCGTACTTGGGACGTATGGGACATAAGATTGTCCCTGTTCAGGCAGGAGGGAAACACTGCTTATGTGCTTCCGAAAGTCCCGTTTATGGCATATCACAGGGGAAGCAATAGTAAACAGAAAATAATTATAATTGAAAATATATTAACACTTGCAGCTATTTATTATCCTGGGTAATGATCGAGCAAACCGCTTCTGGGCTGCACGGTTGCCACCATCAGAGATTCTCCATCCAGAAGACAGTATTGAACAAAGACGAGACTTTTATAGCACACAAGTACAGAGATGGGAAATATAGAGGTCCACATCCCAACTACAGCACACAAGAGGAAATCCTCAAGGTAAAGTACACTGTAAATGTCAAGCATGCATGTTGGAAAATCATTTCTGTAAAATTTGTATTTCTATGTGTGAAAAGTACCTAAAAAACTCTTGAAATTCTTTACTTATGATACATTGAAGGTGAACAAAAGAAACAAAGTTTTACAATCATACACTTACTGTAAATTTACATTGTATAATCCTAGTAATACAATAATGAATGTATCAAAATGACGCTGAGTTTAAAAAAACACTCGTAATGTAAAAAACATACATTATTATACAGGATTTATATAGCTCCAACAGTTTGCTCATCTCTTTACAATATAACAGGAGACAATACAGCAACAATACAGTTCAATACACACAGCAACAATACAGTTCAATACAAGAGGGATAGGAGGGCCCTGCATTGCCTGCCATTCAATGCAGCTGCCACCAGATTGAAGAGTGCCATTTTTGATACACTTTTTTTTTCTTCTGGATGCTCTGAATCTGGTGAGAGGAGACCTGATCTAGACCCCCCCTTGTAGCTGTGCACCAATAAACTCTTCTAATAGTGATCTATTACTGGCTTTCAGACAGAACAATATTACTATAGCAGTGATCTGTTGATGTTAATACATATCGTGTTAATATTGCCAGGGCAGTGAAGCATTGCAGCTGTGGCATGTAAACACCCCTGTCAGCTGCCTATTGCAGCTTAAGGGGGGGGGGAGGCGATTGGCGGGTGGCAGAAATGTGGCTCAACCACTCATTTTTTACACCCCCCCATCCTTCCATAGGTCAAAACTAGGCAGGATATCCAGAAGAACCTGTCGATGAATCCTTACTTCCTCTGCAGTGGAAAATCGAGGTCTCATTCACACCAGATATGACTTAATGCATTTTCCTTCATTCTCCAATGCAGGCAAGATGTGTGGACATAAGAAAATTAATTGTTTTCAATAGAGTTGCTCATGCCAGCATGTTGGGTTTTGCCGAGTGCTAGACAAAGGGCTCATTAGCCTACGTTTTACCATTCAAGTAAATTTAAAGAGTCTTTCAGAATGTCAATGCAACATATCTCAAAGCATGCACATCAAGACAACACATGTTAAAATACATAATACTGAGCCTTCCTGCAGTTTCTTCAGAGATTTTTTTGAATAGCACATGTAAAATTTTACATAGCCATCACATCAGTACTCATGTGAATTTCAGGTTGGGGCAAACAGCCATGTACTGTAGGTTATATATATAGCAACCTATACTAAAAAAAAAACCAAAATGTTATAAATCTAGTTTGGAATGCTGGGTAATTTTTTTTTTTTTAATACTTTTTTGCAAAAACAAAAACTTTTTTTGTGTAATTCCTGATTCATATGGATAATTGTATTTTTCAGGTGCTTTCTGGTGCTGTTTCAGGACCAAATCTGCTAAAGACGGTCATGCAGTTCTTCTCTGATGCTGAGTCTTTAGCTGAGCCATTTGAGAGCCCTACCCTTTCTTCCAGCTCAGCAGACAACTGGAGGGCAAGCTCCTACAGCCTCAACAGTAATTATATATTTTCTGTATTTTTTTTCTAACATTTTAAAAAATCCTCTTAAAAGCAACTTTACCAAAAGTTAAACTCAATCAATCAAGCTGCATGTTCTCTACATAATGTCTGGCTTGCTCATTTGACTAAACCCGGAGGCAGCTAACTCACCAGGATGGCATAATTTAAATCCAAGATAGTTTAACCTAGCATAAGACATAGAAAAGATATTTTCTTGTTTTTTAAAGTTACCTTGCATGTAAAAAGACCAACAGTTGATTCAGTTTTGTATTTTATATATATTACTTAGTATGCAGTATGTTTTTTTTGTGTTGGAACATGGCAGAACTGAGTTCTTCCACCTCTGTGATCAGCCCTGAACTCACCACTCTATATTGTCACTTGAAAACACAGAAGCCCAGCTTCCATGTTTGCTAGTGACAGTGCACCACTCCACAGCACAGCTCCCACAGAACCCTCTTTGACCCTTCTGACCCTTCACTCTGGGCAGAGCAAAAAAAGAGCAGTGTGTTTATGAGCAGGAGGGGGGCAGGCATGGTGCTGTGCTGCATGTACATTTCAGTCTCTATCTGGCCAATGGGGGGAATGGAATGGAATTACAAATGAAGAGGTGCAGAGATGAGTTGTGGACAGTGGTATAGAGGTGAATTGTGAATGGGAAGTGTACAGGTGAGCTTTGGACAGGAGTTCAAAGGTGAGCTTTTGATGGGGGTTCAGAAGTAAGTTGCGGAGCGCAGAGGTCAACTGTGTACTGGAGTGTAAAGATGAGCTTTGGACAGGGGTGCAGAGGTGAGCTTTGGATGGGAAAGAGGTGAGCTGTGGACGGGAAGTGCCGAATTGACCTGTGGTAGAAGGTGCATAAGTGAGCTTTAGATGGGGTTTCAGAGGTGAGTTATGGACAGTGGAGTGCAGAGGTGAGCCATGGACAGGAGGTGCAGAGGATAATTGTGGATGGGAGGTGCAGAGGTGAGCTTTGGACAGGGGTACAGAGGTGAGCTTTGGATGAGGGAGAGGTGAGCTGTGGATGGGAGGTGCAGAACTGAGCTGTGGGTGGGAGGTGCAGAGGTGAGCTGTGAAAGAGGGTTGCACAGTTCAACTGTGGGTGAGGATTGCAGAGGTAAATGATGGGTGTTGCTTTTTTGGGGGAAAACATTTCCACTGGGGAAGATTTTTACGTGATAGGGAGGGACAGCACAGTGGTCAAGAGTATGTAATTCAGCAGTTCGGTGTTTGTTATGGGGAAGTTTGGGAGAAAGCTCTGCACTAGGCAGAAGGAGAGGGTATTGTGAGAAACTGGGGGAGATTATTTTTGGTTGTAAACTGGCCTATGAGATATGCACTCCTGAATGTGGCACTCTGTGCATACTGCACTCCTGAACTCTGCATTCTGTGTGCTGCGCACTCCCAACCCCTTCCACTTTGTGTGCTAAACGCACTCTTGGTTTATTTAACAATGCACCTTTAAGACCCCCCCTTCCCCGCCCCTGTTTGTGCAGTTTGGCCACATCCACCCTATGACATGGACCGTACAATGCGCTTCATCACTAATTTTCCCCCGCGATTGGCGGGGTTGGTCGGGGGGAAGAAGAGTTTCTACACCTATTCTCTGACAACTAAAGACCTGATACAGTGTAGTTACTTGCTGCCTGGGCACTTCATTTATGATGAAAAAGTATTTTTCTTACTATATATCATTCTTGTGGGTGATTAATATCCTTCAAAATTAATATCTTGATTTCCAAAGGAAACTGTGGCCTCATATTAGAACCATGAGTAAGAGATCAACTGACTAATACAGCAATGGGCAAACTACGGCCCGCTGGCCGTATACGGCCCGGCGGACCTTTTAATCCGGCCCGCGGAGCTAGGCTCCCGCTAGGCTCCTCTCACAGTCCGCCCTGAAGACCGGTGTAGCATGAAAATCTGTCTCCTATGAGGATCTGTCCCCCTCGACGTATCTGCGCATGTGCCAGAGATCGCCGATCGGCTGCTGATGCCTGAAACTGGCACATGCGCAGATACGTCGAGGGGGACAGATCCTCATAGGAGACAGATTTTTATGCTACACCGGAATGGCACGGGAACACGCGGAGCAAAGGTAAGTGAATTGACACAGGGGGGACTTGGGGACTTAATATGGGGGATGAATTAATATGGGGGATGAATTACTATATGGGGGATGAATTACTATAGGGGGGATGAATTACTATATGGGGGATGAATTACTATATGGGGAATGAATTACTATGGGGGATGAATTACTATATGGGGGATTAATTACTATATGGGGGATGAATTACTATATGGGGGATGAATTACTATGGGGGATGAATTACTATGGGGGATGAATTACTATATGGGGGATGAATTACTATAGGGGGGATGAATTACTATAGGGGGGATGAATTACTATGGGGGATGAATTACTATAGGGGGGATGAATTACTATGGGGGATGAATTACTATGGGGGATGAATTACTATATGGGGGATTAATTACTATATGGGGGATGAATTACTATGGGGGATGAATTACTATATGGGGGATGAATTACTATGGGGGATGAATTACTATGGGGGATGAATTACTATATGGGGGATGAATTACTATATGGGGGATGAATTACTATGGGGGATGAATTACTATATGGGGGATTAATTACTATATGGGGGATGAATTACTATGGGGGATGAGTTACTATATGGGGGATTAATTACTATGCTTACTATGGGGGAATATTACTATACTTACTATGGATGACACATACACATCATTCATCTACTCTTGGTCCGGCCCCCGGGTCCAATATATGAACCCATTGCGGCCCTCAAGTCAAAAAGTTTGCCCACCCCTGGACTAATATATGAAACTGAAATCAAGACAATTTAGTCTACAGAAAGATAATTAAAGACAGGTCTTTTTGGGCTCATATAAAAAGGATGTTTTAGCTTATACAGTTGTGTTCAAAATAATAGCAGTGTGTTGAAAAAAGTGAATAAAGCTCAAAGTCCTTCTAATAGCTTTTATTTCCATACACACAAATGCATTGGGAACACTACACATTCTATTCCAAATCAAAACATGAAGAAAAATATATCAAATTTGTGTTGTTCCTCTAAAAGAATTGAAGAAAAGTGAATATTAGACTGTTCAAAAAAATAGCAGTGTTTGTATTCTTCTTTACAAACTCAAACATTCACTATATAAACTGAAAAATGTTTGAAGATTTTGCTTTCCTTTGAATCACTTAATTAATATTTAGTTGTATAAGCACTGTTTCTGAGAACTGCTATACATCTGTGTTGCATGGAGTCAACCAACTTCTGGCACCTGTGAACAGGTATTCCAGCCCAGGATGATTGGACTACATTCCACAGTTCTTCTCTATTTCTTGTTTTTGCCTCAGAAACTGTATTTTTGATGTCACCCCACACGTTTTCTATTGGATTAAGATCCGGAGATTGGGTTGGCCACTCCATAACGTTAATCTTCTTGGTCTGGAACCAAGATGTTGCACGTTTACTGGTGTGTTTGGGGTCGTTGTCTTGTTGGAACACCCATTTCAAGGGCATTTCCTCTTCAGCATACGGCAGCATGACCTCTTCAAGTATTCTGATGTATTCAAACTGATCCATGATCCCTGGTATGCGATAAATGGGCCCAACACCGTAGTATGAGAAACATCCCCATATCATGATGCTTGTGCAACCATGCTTCACTGTCTTCACAGTGTACTGTGGCTTGAATTCAGGGTTTGGGGGTCGTCTGACAAACTGTCTCTGACCACTAGACCCAAAAAAGAACAATCTTACTTTCATCAGTCCACAAAATGTTGCGCCATTTCTCTTTAGGCCAGTCAATGTGCTCTTTGGCAAATTGTAACCTCTTCAGCACGTCTTTTTTTCAACAGTGGGACTTTGCGGGGGCTTCTTGCAGATAGCTTGGCTTCACATAGGCGTCTTCTAATTGTAACAGTACTCACAGGTAACTTTAGATCTTCCTGGAGCTGATTGTTGGCTGAGTCCTTGCCATTTTGGCTATTTTTTCTATCCATTTGAATGGTAGTTTTTCGCTTTCTACCATGTGTTTCAGGTTTTGGTTGCCATTTTAAAGCATTTGCGATCATTTTAGCTGAGCAGCCTATCATTTTCTGCACTTCTTTATATGTTTTCCCCTCTCCAATCAACTTTTTAATCAAGATACGCTGTTCTTCTGAACAATGTCTGGAACAACCCATTTTCCTCAGAATTTCAGAGAGAAATACACTGTAACCAGCATGTGCAACATTTGCTGCCTTCCTTCCTTAAATAAGGGCAATAATTGCCACCTGTTTTTCAAAGAATGAATGACCTCACTAATAGAACTCCACACTGCTATTATTTTGAACATGCCCCTTTCAATTAGTGATTCAGTTACACAGAATCAGCAGCATGCATGACATGACTTTTGGGTCTGTTGGATTTCTATTACTCTACTACACCTGCTAGTAAATTATTTGCAATGTAGAAATATACTTTCTACCAAAAACAGTGATTGACCAGGTTAGTGATGTCTGACTACTATTATTTTGAACACAGCTGTATATGGGTGCAGCTCATATATGGGTTTTTGAGAAATGATATAAGAAAAAAAAAGGTTTCAGTTTGAAAAATTGATTAAATGATTTGTTAAAAAATTAAAGTAATAATAGTTACAAAAGTATTAAACACACACGCAGCATATGTCACAGTAAACGCATCCACCAATGGTAATAGATAGTTGATCATACAAGTATGGCTAAAATTCTCAGTGCAATGGGAATTGCACGATCGTGATGAACGAATGCTAGGGCTACACCTGCTTACTTGCATGATCAATTGTGTATTTTTGTTTTTCTAATAAATAAGGTTTTTAATATTATTAAACAAATTCTGATTACTGTGTCTGACATGTTTGGGGCTTATTCACACTATGTGCTGTGGCCTGTGTTTTTCCGCACTGGATAAACACAAGTCACTGCTAGAGAACTCTGAAAACAATTTTTTTTATGTGCAATGAAAAGTGTTAAATTCTCAAACATCCTCTATATAAACACCAAATAAACTTGTGTGTATATTAGTGTTGCTGCAACGCACCATATGTGATCCCACAAAATGAATATTAACCTGAGATGCTGCACTACATTAATACATAATTATTCATCAAACCTTCTGATGGTGTGAATATTATACAACCCGATCTTATAGTACCTACTATATATCCAAAAAGTTTACACCACCACCACTGTGATAAACAACTTAATCAATTGTACAATTCCTGTATTGCTTCTACTAGTATAAAATTCTATATTCCATATCACATCAATGTACATAATAAAAAGTAAAATTCATCCAAACAATAAACCTTCCCTTGTGAAATACTCTGTGTTCAGTGACGTCCCCACAGTCCAACTGAAAATTCTCCCAAACTACTGTTCCAATCCTTGTACAAAATTAGGAAGTGACAAAATCTTCATTGATTCCCACCACCTATCAATCACAGCTCTCACCTTAGTTTATGACCTGTATGTACGTAGGTCACCATACGCCTTCCCCTTCAAGGGGTCTATTTGGTTATCGAAACTACTCCTCCTTTCTATGCTTGTGTTGGCTTCTGTCAAAGTATTTGATCGCCCCACTCTTGCGTGTTAGCTCAGATAAGACAAGAAACTGTACATACTGTTTTACCATTTAAAACCACTATATATTTATTAAACCAATAAAATATGTGCTTACAATTCTAGTGCACAAATAGACAGTAGTGCACCACTTCAAATCACAGCTAGCAAACTCCAATAATGTCTATTTAAAAGATGTAACTGTTACCAAGCCCTTGTGTGTATGGACACCCTCCTGGTACCGTGGTAGCCCCGTTATGACACGTTTCGTCACTTCCTGTGACTTCTTCCCTTCGAAAAGAATGACAGGGCTTGCAACCCTGAATTTTAACACTATTTTTATGTATTTTGCTCATTTTACCTCAGTTTATTTTTTAAAGCTTTAGTGTGAACCCAGCTTTATTAGCCTTCTTTACCATAAAACTGCTGCTGACAAATGGATTGTCCAGCAAAGTTATAAACATGTAAAATTTTCTTTGTAGAAACATGTTCATACGTTTTTGGGAATATTATATTTACAAATATTAACAGCTTTTTAAACTAAAGCCGTTTTCTTTTGTGATTAGGGTTGCTGTCCTTTTAAGTGGACTCCACCAAAACTTTTTTTTTTTATTTTGGATGGGGTGTGAAAATATCAGTATCTTTGTCAGGTGTTTACTGCTGTCTGTGCCCCCACTAGGGAGATTAAACCTAAATAATTTATTAACCATACTTTGTGTCCCAATGACAATTGTAATTGGACAGGAAAATTTAAATGACACATTGGACAGATAGACCTTTAACAAAACACAAGGTAGGGTCTATGTATGGTGTGCTGGAGCTTGAAGCACAAGGTACTCCCCACATTTATACAGCATGAGTATAGGAAAGTCTGTTATTACCCATCTCATAGAAAAGACGTATTGTCAGCCTACAATTAATTATGTTGATGTGTTTCCTGTCCATATAAGGCAAATCAGCCGTGGCTATAAATTCCCCTTAACGTTTAATTCCACTGCAAACAAGAGCTCATTGTAACAAACCACGTGCTGCCCGAAGGGGGGTTTCAATGGCATGTGATCTGCATGAATACACTATAACACTGACTGCCCTCAATCTGATTCATAAAAATGACTCACACTATTCTCAAGAGCAGTGAGGAACAGCACACCAGTGATTTATAATGCCATTTTATTGTTGAAAAGAATGAACACAAAACAGGTTTAATATCTAAAGGAAATAAGAGAGAGTCGAAATTATGTATGAAATGCAACCATAAAATATTGTTTCAGGATAAAATCTCTTGAGTAGGAAACTAAAAACTTTAGTACCTGCTCCCAACACAAATATGGTCCATATTCTACCTTTCCTCTGGAATTTGCAGATTCCTCAACAGCCTCTATTACCTGGAGGAGTATACAAATCTACATAAAATCCACCCAACCCCTTCCCTGTAACTAGCCTTCTCTCTAGCCCAGACTTGCATTTCAGCATAGAATACACATGATTTCCAGTGGTCGATTAAACATGAACTTCACCCCTCCCTTCTATATACACCCATCCCTTATCACTGTAGCTATGTTATCCACAAAAAAAATGGTCACACCTAATGATCCATTTGTGTTCTGTAGGAATCTGCTTTACCACTGCAGCACAATGAGTCCTACTCCGCCATCTTTTTGACGTCTTCAGGAGGCCAGCTGTCTTTTCCAAGTTCTTGCAGTTGGCCCCTGATGACACACATGCATTTCCACACGTTTAAAGAGCTAGGAAAAGACAGCTGGTCACCCTGATGGTGTGGTGCATGTGCAGTAGAATACCCTTTGATCTCTTGGCATGCATGACATGAATATTCCAGAAGGCTGTGGGTAATGCATATGTCATTCTTGCTTAGGCAAGAATACAGGAGATGCGGGGATGTGTTCCCTGAATAAGATTTTAAAAAATACATAAAAAACTATTGATTTAAAGTGATACTAAAGGTTCAGTTTTAAAAATAACAAACATGTCATATTTATCTGCTCTGTGCAATGGTTTTGCACAGAGCAGCCCTAGTCCTCCTCTTCTCAGGTCCCCTGCCGCTTGCTCTGGGGGCACTCATGCATGCTTGCTCCCTTGCCACCTCTGTGTGTCTGTGAGACACAGAGTGCGGCTCGGCCCCCGTCCAATGCTCCCTCCTCACTGACAGTGATTGACAGCAACAGGAGGCAATGAGGAGGGAGAGACCCAGGAGAGCCCTGCTGCTCTCATGCACATCGCTGGATCGAGATCAGGCTCAGGTAAGCATTATGGGAGGCTGAGGGGGGAACTAGGCATGTGAAAGTAACAATCACTTGAAGACACTCTGCCACCTTTCAGAGAGAGGTAGAAGGGTGATGTCCCTTTCACATTTCTCGCTAAGCATAATTTCCCACCCACTGAATTCTACCATATATTACAAGTGTTTCACTTCCTTAGTCAGAGAGACTTCCATATTAAGATAAAATGTATTTTTCCAGTTTATGTAATTAAAGAAGCTTTGCCACATTAGGAATTCTGAAAGAATGATATGAAGGACACAAGCCCAAAGGTGCTTGCACATACTTGCAGCAGTTTTCACTATCCTTTGGCTCGCCTGATGCTGGACTGTTATGATCTGGCAAAATGTCAACATTTGCTCCCTCTTTTCACACAGAGATTAGTGGTTGTAACACTTCCTCACTTGGGGGCTCATTTACAATGTAGGGTAGATATTTCTCTACCAGTTTTCCATTACATTGTGTTTCACTATGCACACTACTTACCATTCCATTCATAAAAATCAGGCCAGGGTGTGTGACCGGCAGAGTCCCAAAATGTTCTTTCTGTGTAAGAGCTTTGTGAGAAGTGCAAGTCATCTGCCTTTTACAGGACATATGATTGGGCTTTCCTCCTTTTTTTCATTCAGTTCTGTTGCGCCTTATTACTGCAGCACAATAAAACAAATGATTTCCCAGCACAGCTAGTCTGCAAAAAAAAAAAAAATGACAATGTCTAAAATGTACATTACAAGCAGAGGTTTTAGTTGTACACATTTGCAAAAATATGTGGAAGATGCATTGTGTCACCAAGGCTCCTATGTAAAGTGCGGTTCTATCGCTTATATTTGAGATTCTCCATTTTGAAGCCTATACAGCAATGGAAAAATTAAGAGTTGAAATAGAATCGCTACACAACTACTAAGAGGTTCAGATACAACTTTATTCCATTAAAGGTCAGGGGTACGGTTCAAAAAGTAGCCAACGTGTTTTGGGGATCTAATTGCTCTCTTCAATAGGATTTGACTGGCAACAAAGTAAACAAAGCAGAAGTTAACTGGACCTGCAATGGTATTTTTTCCAGTGTGCATTAAAAGCACAGGCCTAATCAACAGCTTGTTTGGCGGAAAGCAAGTGCTGATTAGGCATATGCTTTTAATTTAATTGAATAAAGTTGTATTTGGACCTCTTAGCAGTGGTGTGGCAGTTCAATTTCAACTCTTTTTACATCACACTACAAGCCAAGCAGACTGTGGGGGGATCCTCTGGGTGTGTAGAAGCCATCTGCCCAGGAACCAAATCATTTACACCATTATTAATATCTTGAGACAACAATACCAGTAAAATAAACATATGGGTCCTACACTATCTCCCCATTTTTCTCTAATTAATAAATTATGGGCAGGTATGTCTGGAAGCAGCCCATTCCACCTTAAAAGTACTGTGACATATTAGAAGCCCAGCAAGAGTGCACTGGAAACTGAAGGCATCAAATATGTCCCCACACCATTTCCAGTCAACAAACTATAAAATAGCAACCACTTCAATTTATGCCTAGCATTTGAAATTTGGTGCCTTGTTACTGCAATATGGCCATGCTTATTTAAATAAGCCCCTTAATGTTGTATAGATATTAGGAATTATCAAAAAATCCTGCACAGGGCATTGTTTATATAAACTGTGAATACATGGAAAATTGCTGTGTTTCTCATAACGATCAGTTATAGTTCAGTTGTAATTTTAACAGTAAATTAAATGAGCTCTTATGTATAATAAAAACAATAATTTTGCTGTGCTTGCTAATTTTTGTAGCTGAAGGACTCTTTCCAGATGACTTGAACCAAGGAAGAGTTTACGATGAGATCATGCAGCCCGTGGTGCATTCTGGGTACTTGAACAAGGCTGCCATCTTAAGTAAAACATTCATAGCCAAGAAAACAAAAGATGGTAAGAACTATTAAGAGGTTCACACATTTTTATAGCCACTAAACAGGCCATCGTGCATGTCTGGAAGTCCCCTCCTCTCAACTTTGAAGAGGTCAAATCTAAGGCTCGGTACATTTGTCCTGCTAACAGCAGACTTGGAGAATAAGCGTAATAAGTTCTTCTCGATCTGGCAGCCCTAGTTGGATTACCTTTTCCTCCTCGTTACATACATCATGTTTGTGCCAACTTTGATAGCTAAGGGTGTTTTTCCTTTTCTTTCTTAATATTGTCTTCGGAGATTTTCTTGAGTTAGCCCTCTCTTTCCTTTATTTTTTTTCTCTTCTCTTTTCCTTTTTCATTTCCCTTATTATTTCCTTTCTCTGTCTTTACCAGTTTCCCGCCTTTCCTCCTTTCTGTCCACTTTTGAATCATTTACACATCAGCAATTTAATGCTGAGCACACTTTATTTACTCATTGTGGTTTATGAGGCAATTCCACTCGACTACCTAGATATATACCGAAACATCCTTTTAATTGTATCTTTTTATGTTTTGTGCTCCTTTCACTTTTGTTATCGGCTGTTATTGACCTTAGAATTAGTTCTTTTCTGCTGTATGCTGAATTGCCCCTGCATGAGCTTGCAGTCTAGGTGAGGCCGTTTTCATAAGGTTTGCTCGCAGGGGCGAACTGACCATTAAAGCACTCGGGCACTGCCCGAGGGCCTGGGGGTCAGTAGGGGGCCCCATGAGATGCCCCTGGTACCTTTTTATAGGCTTTTTTGGGTGTGGTTTGAGTGTGGCAAGGACACAGGGGCCCCATGATCCCCTATTGCCCAGGGGCCCCATGAGTTGTCAGTCCGCCCATGTTTGCCCATTATATTGTGCTTGTTCTATGCCTTTTGTTGTCAATTGAAACTTTTTTGTACCAGAACTTAGGCTTCATGCACACAGGATTTTTTTTAAATTCTCCTAGAAGCCTTTTCTCCTGGCAGCACCATTTTGGCAGAAAAAATGCCTGTTGCTTGCAACAGTGTGTAACACCTTTAGGCACATTTAGCCATGTCAAGCGTTTGGGCATTAAATCACTTCATTGTCCAGAGTAAATTATTTATTCTGGCTGTTGAAATGAATTAACACTCAAGCACCAAACCCACCTATTGTTAATGTATGCTTAGACACGTTTAGAAGCGTCAACCTTTTTATATGCCCAAACTCTGCTGCTCATAGATGCACTGGCAGTGGGTTTTTTTTCCTGCCTCTAAACTTTCCTGCCACTAAACTCTTCTACAAGTTAACATGCAGTGGAGTTTAGAGGCAGGAAAAAAAAAACACCAAACGCCCCTAGAAGCAGCTGTAAAAATGGCCAGTGCACATGAGGCCTTAAGGGCTACTTAGTAAGGCAAGGAAAAGGGCAATGAAATAGTGAAATGTACACAGAACCACAGTGGTCAATCAGACACCACCTCTTAAGTGATTGTAAGCATATTTTTTTTTAAAATAACGAACATGTCATACCTGCTCTGTGCAAGTTATCCTTTTTGTGAACTGGTGCCCAAATCTGAACTGAATATTCAAGATGAGTTCTTACTAATGATTTAAACAGGGGCATGATTATGTCTCTTCTCTGGAGTCTATGACTCTTAAGTATATACAGTGCTCAGCATAAATGAGTACACCACTTTTGAAAAGTACGATTTTAATCCATATCTCAATGAACACAAGGACAATTTCCAAAATTTTGACAAAACTGTGTTTTATATAAAGTTTGTTTAGCTCATTATATGAAAGTAAGGTAAATAATATAACTTAAATTATAAAATCTTCAGTTTTACTCAAATTAGTTGATGCAAAAATGAATACACCCCACAACAAAAACTACTCTAGTATTTTGTATGATTTGTAAGGACTATGCCAAGACTTCTAGACATGGAACGAACAAGTTGGTGACATATTGCAACATCTATCTTTTTCTATTCTTCAAGAACAACCTCTTTTCGAGCATGGATGCTGGATGGAGAGTGATGCTCAATTTGTCTCTTCAGAATTCCCCATAGGTGTTCAATTGGGTTAAGATCAGGAGACATACTTGGCCACTAAATCACTTTCACCCTCTTCTTCTTCAGAAATGCAACAATGGCCTTAGATGCGTGTTTTGGGTCATTGTCATGTTGGAAAAGTGCACGATGACCAAGGGCACAGAGTGCTGGTAGCATCTTCTCTTTAAATATAGAGCAGTACATCTGTGAATTCATGATACCATCAATGAACTGCAGCTCCCCAACACCAGCAGTACTCATGCAACCCCACAGAAAGACACCATGTTTCACTGTAGGCACCATGCATTTTTCTTTGTACTCCTAACCTTTGAGATGCCACACAGTTTTGAAGCCATTCGTTCCAAAACATGTATCTTGGTATCATCACTCAAGAGTACAGAATCCCAGTAGTCTTCTTATTTTTCAGCATGGGCCCTGGCAAATTCTAGGTGGGCTTTTTTGTGCATGGGCTTTAGGAGATGTGCCCTTTGTGGATGACACCCATGCATGCCATTCTTCTGGAGTGTACGCCGTATTGTATGATGGGAAACAATCACCCCAGTTTGGCTTTCTACTTCTTTAGCTAACTGCAGTGAACTTGCATGCCAATTTTCTTCAATTCTTCTCATCAAAAGATGCTCCTGTTGAGGTGTTAAAGTGTTACTAAACCCAAAACAGTATAATCAGTCTGTTTATGCAATAAAGCATGCTTGTTATACTCACTGTTGAAACCTAAGGGGTTAATCCTCTGCATTGTGTAAAAAGATTGTTTGATCCTGTCTTCTCTGATCCTCCCCTTCTTCCAGTGTCCCCCTCTTGTCTACTGATAAGACATATCATGTGGAGTCACTCTGCACATGCTCAGTTTTGTGTTTATTGCTAGAGAGGTTCTTTTTTTGGGGGGGAGAGTGCATGTGATCAGCACAGGGCCAATCAGCACTGTCCAGACAGAGGTCAGGGGTTCTTCATCCTCCTAGTGCAAAATGAAAACTCCTCCTACAAGCTTTAACCAATGCTCTGCCTGACACTGATAGTAGTCACAAGACTGCTCTAACTGCTAATGAGAAGAGGTATTTAGCAGTTTATATTTACTAAAATAATTGCACGTCCATGTTCTGTGTACTGTGGGAGACCTGATATAGTGAATGTATGGTCCTGGGTTTAGTAACACTTTAACTTCTGTGGACGGTCTGGATGTCTGTATGAAATGGTTGTAGTTCCATCGTGGTTACATTTTTGTATCACTTTTGCTACAGTATTCTGACTGATAAGTAAAGATTTGCTGATCTTCTTGTAGCCCTCACCTTTCTTGTGTAAAGAAGTTATTTTCTTTGTTAGGCCTTGTGACATTTCTCTTCCATGTGGTGCCATTGCTGACAGCATGAAATGGGAAAGGGTTTTCTTTGTTAAGTAATGCCCTTTTATAATCCACTCTTTGCTGGACACCTGTTTAATGAATAATTAGACTCACCTGTAGTTGAATTCATGTTAATTAAGATTATGTTTTATAAAATGTAGCTTTGTTCCCAAGAATTGAATTGGGTTGCATTAATTTTGCAACATGGTTTGAATTAATTTGTTTGGAAAAATACTTTTTTGTGTGTGCAAATTAATAAATCTTGTTTGCAATCAATGGCCCGCATTTGTGGGAATATTTTGTACTATAGCATCCCATAAATATGTAAATATTGATTCTGAAAGGAAAGTAAAGGTTTTCTGACAAATCTGTTGGGGTGTACTCATTTATGCTGAGCACTGTAAGTAATAATAATAATAATATCTACTGAAACAGAGAGAGGTCTAGTTGCTCCTGTCCCATCCTTTTTTACAGATACCTTTATGTAACATTTGTTTTCATGAACAGAGTTCCACAAGCACTGGTGTGTCCTGGAAAGATCCCTTATATTTTATGAGAATGACAGAAGCTCAGAACAGGTTGGGAAGATCGATCCTCCAGAAGTGGTTTGCTTGGGAGTGAACAAGCTGGACATCTTGAACAGCCCAGTACCTGTGGAAAGGTCAGACATCATATATGGCATGTATAGGGCAGGCTGCTTTTCTTTTAAATACATTCCATTATGCAGAAGTCACCCGTTAATATATTATTGACTGTTGTGAACCTTGTATGTTTCTACTGTCTATTCATGGAAGCAGACAAATGTCTACTTTTGCGATTTATTTATTTTATTTTTATTTATTACAGGTACTTATATAGCTCTGTCAATGTACGCAGCGCTTTTCATGTATATTGTACATTCACATCTGTCCCTAACCCTCAAGAGGCGTACAATCTAAGTTCCCTAACTTACATTCATACATACACATACTAGGGCCAATTTAGACAGGAGCCAATTCACCTACCAGCATGTCTTTGGAATGTGGGAGGAAACTGGAGTACCCAGAGGAAACCCACACAAGCATAGGGAGAAAATGCAAACTCCAGGCAGGTGGTGCCACGGTTGGGATTCAAACCAATGACCCTATTACTGCCTGGCGGAAGTGCTAACCATTTAGCCACTGTGCTGCCCACTGTGACAGTAGGTTTCAAACTACTGCAGTAAGGCCTACTTTCTGGTAGCCCGAGAAAGTACCTGCAGATAACATGTACTACATTTATCAGTAGTATATCTTTATGGTCTTCTAACATTTAGATTATCTCCTTAAACCTGAAATACAGACGTACAGTATTCTAAAGCTCACCATACACTAATAGATTTTTTTCACTCAGTCTGTAGGCTGAAAAAAATAAACCGAACAGATTCCTACTTCTTCACAAATGGCGTGGATGGACAAATCCCCGATGCTGGGACATTGTATTCTGACAGTCCTAAGCTCCAGCTGTTAGGATACCCAAACCGTGTCTGAAGCTGACTGCCTGCGGGTGCTTTTTGGCTGCCAATTTTTGGCCCAGCTCCTTCTACAAAAGCCAGTTGAATAATTGACTTTTGTCAATCATGAAAAACAATCATACTTAATGGCTGCCTTTAAACAATAAGGGGTCTATTTATATAACGTTTGTTGAACAAATATCACACACATTCATGCAGGATGGACAAATGTTCCCTGTATTTTCTATAACAGGTGAATTTCTTTAATTGTCAGCTCCATCTAGTGACTAAAACGCAGTATCGTTTTCTGAACTACCTTGATGAGAAAATATACCCTATTTTAGCTACTCTACTAGGGTAGAAAGATATAAATATACCGATATTGTAGAGTGTCTTCCGTGCTATACAGTATATTGTATAAATACAATTTTTAAATTTGGATAATAATGTCCCAAAATCACAAGATCATTTTGTATTTTTTTTTGTTATTACATTCCTGAAAAATAAAAATCTATTATCTGTGTGGAACTCCTCCCTTTAGTAAAACATCCTTTTAGAGCCCTTAACACTTACCCTTCAAATTAACACAAACTGGATTCCTAAAGCTCCAGCCTTACCTTCAGTCTTGCAAAGTACTGAAAATGCCTACTTTGAGCTCACTACACATTGTAAGCTTCTCACACTGTACATTAGAAGCATCACAAGTCAGATAGTGCATGCCCCATTTACTGGCTGGAGGATGTCCAGCATTATCTAGCTGTTCCTCCCCAGCCTTACTGTCCTTGACACACCCCTTTCATTCATTGGATTCCAGTTCTTTCAATAATGGATGCACCACAAGTGGGCCTTACCTAGCATGGTCTGCATGCAAATAGAGCCTACCTAGGAACACCTACTCCTCCAAACTGACACTCGTCCATGTAGGCAGTTTGATATTTTCATAACTCCTCCCAAGAACCAACACACTGCTGGCATCAGGGCTGAGGGCTCTTGAGAAAAGTACTGAGGCTGGGTGCTATGATGTTTTGAGGAAGCTATACAGCACCCTACCAATCCCTTCCACCAGTCATGATCAGCCCCCATTGAATAGCAAAGCAAAGAGACCCAGTTATGCCGTCGCTGGGTGTAAAACAAGGTGCGTAATGAAATCAGAAAGGTTCTTTTTAAAATTTCATTATTATGTTGATTAGGAAGGAAAGGAGGAATCAAGGAAAGCAACTATAGGCAGATTAAACTTCAGCTTTAACCTATTGCTTTGCCTGAAAATATTCTGTAAATACTAAACTTGATCCCCAGTTTGTGCTTACCGCTGCATTATCTTTGGAATGCCATATATTTACTTTTTCAAGCCATTGTGCTATTTTCTCCAAAAACTTCATAACCATCCTACACTAAAATTGCAGCACCATAGACTTATGCTGGGTGTTCAGGCTTAGATTATGTTTGTTCAGTCTATGGGCCGAATTAAAATAATCAACAGTTTCTGCCATCCATGCTACATAGCACTGATGGAGGAATCTCCCACTGTGGCTATTGTATTCTGACAGCTTCAGCAAATGCCTGTCAGAAAACTAATACAGCAGTTGCATTTGTCTGGATACGGCTGCTGTACAACCAACAATTTTCTGCTAGGCTTCTTCGATTTTAAAGGGTGATGGAGGTGGCCAACAGGAGCACCCATGTAGCAATTTTTGAGTGGTACCCAGCTTAACTGATCTTCAAAGAACACTCTGTGTACAGAAAAAATATTAACCTGTAATACTTTAAATAATACCATGTACCACTTTGGAAGTCAGTATAGTATTCCCCAGCAGCCTAGAACTGTTGCAGAAAGTAGCTGGTTTTGGACAGTCTTTATGTTCCATTGAGTTTAGTTCCTGTTTTGAAAACATGTGAATGCATAATCATTTGTGCTGCACAAATTTGTATATAAATCATAAATCCTCTTTAGTGTCAGTAAGTCCCTTCAAATAATCTTCAATGTGATAGTCCAAAAATTAAGTCCAATATCAATGTGTACCTCAAAAAATACAAAAACTAAAATAGTGTATTATCCTATGTAACAATAATCACAACCATATATACGTATGTGAAAAATTGTGAAAAACACAATATAAACACTGCGTGAGAACACGTGAATTGGCCTCCCCCAGCCAATCACAGGTAAACACCCATAGAAAAGAAAGGATAGCCATATAGTGTAATATGTCACATAAATCTATTCAGACTTTATTGGTTGTGCTTACATGTAAAATATAGTTAAAAATTCCCATTCCAGAGCAGCTTCCAGGAACGCCAATTGCGATATTCCCTCAGTTAAGATGGCCGCTCGGGCACTTCCAGTCACCGAGCAACGTCTGAAGTCATGTCCCTTGATGCGTTTTGTCACTTCCTGACTTATTCAATAATGTCTTTTGAATATATTTTACATATACATGTAAGCACAACCAATAAAGTCTGAATAGATTTATGTGACATATTACACTATATGGCTATCCTTTCTTTTCTATGGGTGTTTACCTGTGATTGGCTGGGGGAGGCTATGTACCATACTTGGAAGTATAGGATGTCTGGCATTTGACATAACGTTTGAGGATCAACTGAAGGAGTGGTGGCAATTGAATTAAGGCTTTTTAATCACATTTTGATGGTAAGAGTATTCACTCTAGCCACATAGAAGTGTCCACGGAGTGTTCAAGGAGTGGCGTTTATATTGGAGTGTACATGTTTATATTGGAGTGTACACGGAGTATTGCACCAATTTCTCGTGTTCTCGCGCAGTGTTTATTTTGTGTTTTTCCCAATTTTTCACATATGTATATATGGTTCTGATTATTGTTACACTGAGGATAATACACTATTTTAGTTTTTGTATTCTTTGAGGTACACGGCAATGTAGGATTTCATTTTTGGACTATCACATTGAAGATTATTTGAAGGGACTTACTGACACTAAAGAGGATTTATGACTTATACTTTGGACTTTCAGGGGTGAAAGTGGGACTTTTAAGTGTCAAGGGATAGGATATTCATTTTTCATAAACTTTTTACATTTATTTATTACATTTTTCATATTTTTTTTTCACATTTATTTATTATATTCATAATTCTTTCACATTTATTTGTATAATTTTCACAATTTTTGTTTTTAATATTTGGATACCGATTTATTCAGTTTACAGATTTGTACATGTTAACATTTTAGGTTTCGGTACACATTTGAAATTGTCTTGGCTTGTGAAAAGGTGCACCAGTTTGGGACTGATGCTGCTGAAACACTGCAAACATGGACAAGTGCAATTGGGAAGGTGAGCAGAAAAGTTATTTATTATAGGGCAACTACAGTATACCAGCTAAATTCACAATTAGTATATATACTGTATATAAATGCTAAAAATGTAAAATTCTGTTCAGTCAGTCTTGTGATGCAGGCACCTCAACCATATAGTAAGGTCAGGTTAGTAACTTTCTTTCTTCCACTCCTTTTAAGCTAATCAACTTGGAACTGATTCTCCTTAGCTTGTGACTAGACAAAGAAAGAGCTATATTTCATTAATAAAGTATCCTTGTTCTCTGCGTTCTTACACATAACCTCCCAATGTTATATTAATAGCACAAAACAATGCTGCCCTTTCCTGTCCTGGTCCAGATGACCAGGGGTTGTTAAAAGCTAACAAAAATCAGATTTAGTTAAAAAACTAAATAAATAGAATACATAACTGGCAAAAGTGTATTTTACTTTAAATGGCAACTTCATGCAGCACAGGCAAACAGAGAGGAGGAGAAAATCATAAATTACACTTCATTTTATATTGTAGTTCCATGCCTTTATGACATCTGACTCTCTCTCTCTCTCTCTCTCTCTCTCTCTCTCTCTCTCTCTCTCTCTCTCTATCTCTATATACTATATATATATATATGGTTAACTGCAGAGGTTTTACAGGAAATTATTCTAAGTAGTTGGAGGTACAGCCCATGGGTTCTTCACTATCACCTGGGGAATCTACTGTAAAGGGTCATTGGGGTGATTGTGTTTTACATAATACATTAAATTCTGCATATCCCCACTGTCAAGAGTTGTTCTTTAGGTTTTAAGGGGTTATTCTCTAAAACCTGTGACAGTAGATATTTTTCTTTCCATGCAGTGGTTCACCCCAATCAGCTGCCACTGTCTGCTAGGATATGAGTTCCAGAGAGTGGGTAAGATGCGCTACAAAGCAATGCTGAACCCAGATCAGTGGAAGGAAGGCTTCTTTCTGTTACAGAAAAGTCACCTTTTTATCTGTCCAGAAGAGCAGGATGCAGCAGAGGACACAGTCAATTTACGTCAGCTCCAGGAACTCAGTAAGTATTATAAAGACAGTTTTCTACAAATGTGACACAATGTCTCAGCTGGCACATGGGTAATCAGGAACAAGGTGTTTTGAGGCAAAGTGTGTCTTGTCATCCAGTTTGTGTTAGAAAATCATGTGAAAGGATCATATTATTTTTTGTTTCCATAAACAAGGACTAGTTAGCAGCCACCTGAGTTTTTTTTTTTTTTTACAACCAGTTAAAAAATTCCTGTGCTATATACCCCTATTGACATCTATGTGGCCAGCCTCTAATTTGTCATTGCAGTACTCTATTCTGGGGTATTGTAAAAGCATAACTTTTTTTGTTTTGATTTTTTGGATAGAGTGGAGAGGGTTTAGAGTACATCTTAGGTTTTGCTATTGCTGTTGGTGCCCCCATCAGCGGATTCATCCTCTCTATTTGCCATTTTTTACCGTTGTCATTGAGAGTGAAAGTGAGGAAAATCACACATTTTTGGGTTGTCACCAGAAGAGAAATAAAGGAAAAAACTTGGGGCAACTAGTTCTGGTGACCCTTTACTTTGGAGGGATTTCTCTGTCTTCCTGTTTTCACTGTGGGACAGGAAGTGAAGAGAAATCTCCCCACTGGGACACAGATGGCAAAAACTGACAGGGGTTATAACCTTTCTTCAACCAATGCAAACTGAAAAAAAAAATGCCTTTAGTACTACTCAACTAATTATATATGTCCACACTAAACCACTTGTGTCTCAGCCAGTATTGTTGGGTTGAAGATAACCACTAGAACTGAACTTATGGGAAACATAGTCTATGTTCTTGTCTATGTTCTTAGCCTCTATAATATGCCTCTCTGTTTTTAGACCAAGCATTGACCACTTTCCAGCCAGTCACTACTATTCCCAGACAAATGCTAAGATATGTACACTTAAAACTAGTGTGTGCCCAGACTAAAACACACTAAATAGAGTCTTACATATTTTGTAATAGAAGTAAAATCATTTTAACACAAGCCCTCACTCATCTCTGCAGCTATAGCCATTATGAGGAAATGTGTTTTAAAGTTCATGACAGTGGCACTGAAATCTGAAAGCTTTTGCAATTCTTGGCAGCCTACCAGCCCTTCAGTATAATCAATCAATGGGCGTTTCTAAGCTGTTACAAACTAACTGAAACTCTAGAGACTGATCTTTGAGTATGAATTCCTTCAAAATACAAGCAGCTACAAAGGTCAGGGATGGCTTGTTTTAAAACCATTTAACTGCTTGTTAAGAATATGAAAAACTACTTTTCTATAGTTTGGGGATAGGTGCACTTTATGCTACTGTATATGAATATAAATTTCTGTGCAGTAGTTAGCTTAAAAAGAAATGAGGATGTTGTTCCTTGGACACACTTCAGACCACCATCGTATGTCCAAGGCTTACTTAAACACATGGTAAACAATTAATCACCATCTTTCATAAGGCCCCTTACACATGGGGCAGACTCCGCTTTGCGCAGCAGGGGATCTCTCCACTGATCCCCCGCTGACCTAAGTTGAGCGGGCGGATGACAGGTCTGCATCTGCTCAGTTTCTGCAGAGCGGACATGAACAGAGCCACTCTGCTGTATGGGCGGCCAGGTGTAAACAGATCGGCTGCTTGTTTACATCCAACTGCCCTCTGATCTGATCCACCTATATGGGAGGGGAACCGGTCCCCTTCTGCTCCTTTTAGCAGATCATATTGGATGTAGGTGGGTGTAAACGAATACAAGTCAATTTGCACCCACTGCTCCATAGAGGCGAATAGAGGGTCTAATCAGGTCTGCTTGAAAAACTGGCAGGTGGACCTTATTGGACCTCTCATGTGAAACACCCATTTTTCTGGCTCACATCTGATGTCTGACTGGTTCCTGTGACAACTGTTTATCACCATTTTATGTTCACTGTGTTATCAGGCTAAATTTAAAGTGGCTGTAAAGGCGCAAGGTGTTTTACCTTCATGCATTCTTGTGTTTGCCCCCTTCTATAGTTCTCTGCAGGCAGCTTGTTTTGGGTTCTACTCACAGCTCTGCTCTCTGCACAGGCTTTGTAACACAGCAATGATTTTAGTGCTACTTTTACAATCTAATATCTGAGCTTGCAGATCATCTTGGTGAATACAAAGTGGATTTATGTCCTGGAATATATTTAAATGTTGAAAACTAGATTTTGTTCATTTTAGTGAGTGTCTCATTACTTTTGCCTTTCTTTGATTTTTAGCTGTATCACCAGCTGCAGAAAATTCTGAGAAGAAAGATATAATAATACTTGTAGAAAAAGGAAGGTATGTTTATCTTCTTTCTTTTTATGTTAATTTTTGTCACTTTTTTACATTCCTTTTAAAAAAAAATCTGATAATTTTGCATGGTGCTCTTCTGCCACCTGGTGGCCATTTTTCAGAACAACAGAAAAGAGTTAAACTATAAACGTAGACCATTTATTAACAGGGGTAGGCAACCTTAAAGAGGTGGAGATCTACCTCACAAAATGGGAGAAGTCAAAGATCATGGGCACAGTGTTGCCTCCTCGCACCTGATTTAAACCTCTAATTGCTGTACTACTGTGTCACAATCACGTGCATTGCACGGCAATCATTTAAATCAGGTGATGAGAAGGCAACATATCACCTGCTCACCACCTGTCAAATGCACTGGGATTGCTTTGCGGGGGTCGGAGCAGCAGTGCCTTCTGCACCTGTGAATGAGCCCTTAGTTGTAGTCGGCAGAGGCGCCCTTAGGGCTTGTTCACATTTAAAGTTTGGGGGTGACAAAACCTTGCGGTTGAATCATGGTTTTAAAGCCCCCCCCCCCCCCCCCCTCTCTATTGCTGTTGGTTGGTGCTACCGCAACCAAAACCCATTCAAGTAAATGGGCCACTCTGCATAACTTCATGCTTCTGTGGGGTCCAAGGGCTTAAAGCAGGTGGTGAGAAAACAACACACCGCTGCCTGTTTAACCCCTTGTTTGCTGTACTGCACAAGGTTGCAGGGCAATTGCTGAGCAACCTCATTCTCTTGAATGAGTCATGCTTGGCTGGTGCTACACCCACCAACCATGACAGGGCATAGGAGCAGCACTACAGAGGAGACATCAACCTGTGTGGCTCTTGCTCCCTACTATAGCTCCAGCTTTACGAGCAGTCCCTCTGCATTGCACTCTGATGCTCTGGGATGGCGTGTTAGCAACCTAGATCTACCAGTCACCTGGCCAAGATCTACTGGTTGCTGACCCCGATTTATAACATGCATTATCTTACAAAAGTTGTATTTCACTTTACTTAATTATGTTTCAAAATCTTAGTTTTGTAACTATATAAATAGTGTTAGCGTTTTCAGGGAAACTCAAAGAATACACACACACACTCATTATATCTGTTTTAGGTGGATAGTATTCAGGTAATTGCACATGCTAGATTGAGAGGAGAAAATTGGTGTCAGATACTAATAGTTATTTTCTTTTCCTGGTCTTGTTCATATCCACATAACAATGGGTCTGCCTGCACCCTCTGATTTGATTAACTCAACAATTTCCCTGATTATTTTTTTTCTGGTCTTAATAATTATGGTGAGCATTTAACAGGAGTTTCCTCCTTTTTCTACTTTTTCCTTTTTCTATCTTCCATCATGTAAACATACCAATGTGGTCAAGGGACGGAGCCAGCCCCATTTTTATGTTGACACTATGAAAAACTAGTGATGACGATTTTATGGCTTTATAAAGTGTACATGAACAAAAGGATGTTTTTATGCACCTGCTTTTTCAGTTTTTAAAATAACTTGACTTGACATTATTTCCACTCTGTAGGACCCTTTATCTGCAAGGTATTACACGGGCAGATTTCTTGGCATGGAGCTTGGATATCCAGTCTGCAGCATGCAGTAGCGGCAACATGTTACGAGACCAGCAACTTAGCAGGAATGACATTCCCATCATTGTAGACAGTTGCATTGCTTTCCTTACTCAGTATGGTGGGTGTAATTTTATTTTACCTGATAAATTAAAGGGATTTCATTGGCAAAAAAAAAAAAAAATCAGGAAGATGTTTGTGCTAGAAGGAGTCTATAGAAAGAAGGGACACAGGGGGATCTCTGAGTAGTGATTCCTCCTTCAGTGTTTGACTGTGTAGACATGCAATTTAAAAATTGTTTCCTCTACCCAGTCTTATTTATACTGTCTGATCATTACTTGCCAATGTATTGACACTGCAGCAAGATAAAATGAAAAGTTATACTTGTGTATTTAACTTTTCACAGCCCCTTTGGATGAAAAATATGACATACATTTGATTCCTAAATTACAACTGGGTTTATACACAGTTTAGTATACATACTGCATATTGGTGACGTTCACATAGCAGTCAGTCTTTTCTCAGTTTCAAATGACTGCTAACATGAAACTTATAATTTACAAAGCGAAGCATCTCAAAATCTGTACTGAAATTAGATTCTTCCTTTATGTTAAAAATATATTTTAATATTCTATTTAATTTTTGATCTAAAGGCCAATTTATTTTTTCAGCTTGAGCTTAATTGAGAGCGTACATGTACACTGACCATCGGTGCATAAAAGATGTGTGTGTTACATTACATACATTGAAGAGTACAGCATTGTATAAGTACATTCACAAAGTAAAACAAAGCTTTAGCTTGATACAAGGACAAACACTGCATTGTAATTAACTACAGAGAAAGGATGGGGGGGTTCTCTAAATGTGGACTACACAAGGGGAAAAGCTTAAGGAATCAGTAAAGTGTATGAAGAGAAAGGTTGGAAAGGAAGGAAAGAGGGAAGAGCTGTAGTTCAGTGTTAGTTCTCCCTCCATGATCCTGGCTGCATCTGCATATCTGGTGTAGAGCAAGAATAGTAAGTCATATTTGTCAATGTAGAATTTGGAAGTTGTAGGACTCAACTTAGTTAAGAGGAGAATTGAGTAATAAGGGTTTTAAACCTCTATGATTCTTTACAGATGATCTAGCTAGACCAGAATCTTGTATATGTTATCCCTGTCTATTGTTATATGTTGTTCCATATTCTTCATATCAGTATTTAATTCTAGCCATGGACTGTACAGTCGGAGATTTCTTTATTATTTCTATTGTATTAAAATGGCAGCAATAGACATGACCCATAATAGGTAGTCAGATAAATCCATTTTATAAATATATCCTGCAGATAACTGATGCATTAGTCTTACCAGACTAACACATTCGCTTTCAAGACTCTAATGCTCAGTGTGTCCTTATCTTCAACCTTGCCAATGTTCCACATTCCATAAAGCATAGTTGTGTGAATGGAAATATAAGAGGGCACAGCAATAAAGAACTCAGTGTTTGCCATACATTTGCCCACCTCCCCATAATCTGATGAGTTGTCCTGACTCTGGAACACATTACATATGTTCAAGGTGTCTATGGATATTTAGAAGTGTGTTTTTACAGGTCTTCGTCACGAGGGAATATATCGGAAAAATGGAGCCAAATCTCGGATTAAACTGCTAATGGACGAGTTCCGAAAAGATGCCCGAAACGTCAAACTTCGTATCAGCGACAACTTTGTTGAAGATGTCACAGATGTGTTGAAGAGGTTTTTCAGGGAGCTGGATGATCCCATTTTCACAACAGAGCGCCACCCACAATGGAGAGAAGCTGCAGGTAAAAAATCAGGAGCAATCTGCCCTTGTCAGCCAAAAAGATAAACCAGACATTATTTATGTAAAATATACATCCTGAAACATAATTTCCCACTCGTGTGATTAGCTCATTGATTTTTCCAGAAGTGTGCACAGTGCTGGTGGTAAAAATCACAACCGTTCTGAGCTCTGTTCTTAGGTTTGCTGCCACTGGTGAGATTGTTACTGCTGTACGGTATCTGCAAAAGTGCAGAGATGTAGATTTGTTTGTGCTTACTACACTGGGCCTGATTTTGGAGGGATAGCAGGCAGGACCTCTAACTCAGCGGTCTGCTGGAGGAGGCTTGAGGAAACTAGTCACCTGTGTGACCAGAATAAGTAGGAATATGCAATATATATATAACTGGCAGCTGAACTCCAGGCATATATAAAAGACACAGATTATTGCAACTCTGTAATGCCTATTACTATACATCATTTAATGTATTTTGTAAACACAAGCAGTGTAACTACCAGAATCTGACCTGCTATCAGTCTCCTACATTCACTGTACAGCAGGGCTAGAGAGTGAGAGGAAGAAACAGCACAAGGAGCAAATCAGTTTAGGTGCTGACACAGAGAATGCTAATATGAAGAGAAAGCAGTGCAAGATGAGCTCATCACTGTGCAATGTCCAATCATAGACTGGGGCTGGGGTTGGGGTTAGTCCTGGATGATCTGGGGTCAGAGGAAGTGAGTTAAATAATGCTGGCCATCAAATAATGCTGACCAAAAGTACTGCAAGTGAAATCTCTAGCTTGAAAAAGAATATTGCTGCAAAAGATGTTTTTTTTTTGCATAGGAACCTGCAAAGCATTTACAATCAGATGATCAACCTGGAATTGGACATGTGCTCAGTGGATCCCAGGCGCAAAGCCAGGTTCCTGCAGAGTTATCCTCCTGCTCCCTGTCATTACCTAGGTATGGGCTTTGAGGTGTAAAACTGGAGGAAGTGCCAGTGAACTACCAGTGTGGTAAAGGCAGATGGGACCTGTAGTTCATCCATTCAAACATCTGTGTGAATGAATGACATGGCAGTTCAGAGCCCTTGCTGATTTCAAAAGTTACATCAGATGCAGAGAAGTAGAACCAAAAACCCTTCACAGCGTCCAAACAGTAAATATCCCCTATAACCATATGTAGACTCTCCTTCTTTTTCAATATCCTTCAGTGTGCAATTCTCACACCAAAATCTTCATGTTTAACTTGGTACCAAAAATGTGTCAAAATCCATGCATATCCACTCCATCACTTGTTCACTTCTGTTCGTCTGCAATTCTTACTCTCTGTATTTAAATCACCAGATCATCACAAGTTCCACAGAAAATTATCTTCAGTTTACAGCTTCCTCTTTCCGTCCTCCCCTTCATAGGAGATTTACCCTCCGGAAAAATTATATTACGTAGTGTAGTACATTCCAATGATAACAATATGTAGGTCTGAAATCCTCTCCTCCTCTCTTCTACCAGCCAGGACTTTCCATAGAGCTCAAGGAGAGGATTACATATCGTTATCATTGGAAAAACGGGAATAATGTTGGTTGGGAAGAGCTGTCTCTATCCAATGCTATCTGACTGATTTAGTATGGTAAGGTGCATGGTCTGTTAGGTGGTGGAGTGGTTCTATCACTTTTTCACTGGTGGTCACAATTTGATAAAGAGTGGAGCACAGGAGGACATGATATTGAGGAATTGATAGTACTACACTATGTAATATAATTTTTCCAGAGGGTAAATCTCCTATGAAGGGGAGGACGGAAAGAGGAAGCTGTGAACTAAAGAAAATTTTCTGTGGAACTTGTTACAAGGCTATTTAAATATAGACAGGATAAGAGTAAGAAATGCAGACGAATAGAAGTGAACACATGGTGGAGTGGATATGCATGGATTTTGACACATTTTTGGTACCAAGTTGAACATGAAGATTTTGGTGTGAGAATTGCACACTAAAGGATATTGAAAAAGGAGAGTCTACATATATGGTTATAAGGGATATAGGGGATATTCACTGTTTGGACGTTGTGAAGGACTTTTGATTTTGAACTTTCTGGGGAGAAAGTGATATCTTGGCACCCAGGAATTGAACACTTATTGGATTGTGTATGTGTAGTGGATACTGGTTGTAAAAAATTTAAGAGAAGTAGAACTGCCAATGCTGACACGGGGAGGGGGGAGCACAGGTGTAGCATCTAGTTCCCCTGCCAGCAGCCTGTCAAAATGTATGACAGGCTGAAATACATGGCAGCTAAGCACCGAGTGTTCACACACATTTAGGGCCGTATGCATTCAGGATACACGTGTTTATATATGTATGCTCCGAGTGCAGAATTTCTGATAGGCTGCTGGCCCGAAAAATTGATGCTGTGCCTTGCAGGCACCCTAATATCTTGGGATTTAATGCTGGCGGGCCAAACAGCCCATGTGCACGAGGCCTTTTTTTTTGAATAGAGCTCTTCTTTAAATCTTTTATGTCAAGCAAGTGTACTGTTCTACATGTGACATTCAAAGTCTTGCTACAGCAGCAGCACATTTATCTTTGTTGTTTTGTTTGCTGTTTACCATAAAAGTAAAATACTGTTCATTAAACCGTGAAATTAAAAATCATGAAAAGTAACAGGGAGGCGAACGTACTTGCTTTATCTGCATGTTTATTAATTCTTCTTGTTGTAAACAGATTATAATTCTGTTTTTTTTGTTGTTGTTTTTTTTTTTTGTTACAGTCAGCTTGTATATTTCTCAAGGACAATTTGACCAGCATTTTCTGGCAGGATTTGCTTATTTGCATTTTTCTCTCAACCACATTTTTGCCCCCATAAGGAGGAGAGTTGAGTATGTGGCCCCTTTTGCAAGTACCCCCCTAAAAAGAACCTGAGGTGTTGAAGAGCCTGAACCTGGTCAGCATTCCACACTTTGCTTTAGGGCTCCTGCGCTACCAGGTCATGGCTCTGCTCTTTGGCTACTTTTCCGCACCTCATGTATTCACTGTGGAGCTGGCTACAGTATTAGCCCTTCTGGGCTTTTGACACATCCTCATTGTGGGATAGTTAAATGACCTCCTGTTGAGCGAACAGTTGGTGTGTGCTCTGTCAGAAAACGTGTTTAAATGTCCAGATCATACAGTGAGTTGCCCAGATTCTGAACCTTCACAAATCATAGCTGAAACTGACTCATTGTTTAAAACAGCCTTTCTCAACCAGGGTTCTGTAGAACCGTAGGATTTCTCCAGAGGTTGCTATGGGTTCCTCAGTGAGCAGTATCTGCCTCTCAGATAAGTAACAATTAACAGCAATAATCACTTTAGCTATCTTTAACTGTGGGAATTCTTCACACTTACCAACAATGTAAGGAGCATTCTTCCTAGTGATCATCACACTAATGTACTGTTTGCTGTAGATATAGTATTTCTTTGCAGGGGTTCCCTGAGATAAGAAAGTTTGTTTATAGGTTCCTCTATTGTAAAAAGGTTGAGAAAGGCTGGTTTAGAGTATCTAGGTCTATTTCTAGATATAATACAGGCCACAAGATAAACAGGCCAGGAGTCCAAAGTTCTGCTTTTTCATGGGAGTCGTAGGTCTAATGGTAGCTTCTTTCAAAACAGTTCTATTTGCCCCCTTTATTTTCCAGACTTTTACAATGCAACACTTGTCTGTCACCAAGGAACATATTGTCTCTGGCTTTGTAACTCTGGAATCTGAAGCAGTGGCAGTCCTTGCTTCTTTTCTTTAGGGTATCCATGCAATGAATACCAGCCTATTGGGCAGGGGAGGAGTTCTGGGTTCTCTTTCACTGCAGGGAGCTTGATTGTCAGAGGAGTCTTGTCTCCTAATCAACTTCCTGGAACTTCAGGCAATTCTGCTGTATCGCCAGAGTAGGACTATCCTACTGGAGGGCATTTTATCTGGATTCATTCAAACAACACCATGCCTGTAGCATATATCAATAATCAGATTGGAAACAGAAGTCTTACTGCAGCAAGATAGGTAGATTGGATCCTGTCCTGGGTAGAACTTTGCGTTCCAGCCTTGCCTGCCATGTACATTGTAGGCATAAGCATTTGGCAGGCAGATTTTCTCAGCTGGCAGCACCTGGAGCCAGGGAAGTGTACAGGGATTCTCTAGCAGAAGCAGTAGATACTCTGGTGGCTATGCCAAAATCAGTACACCCTGATATTTACCTTTCTTTCTTTGATACCTCTTTCTCGTCTGTTATGCAGCTTCAAGATGGAGGGCTTCCAGTTATAATTATTATGTCAGCTGGGCCAAGTAGATATGGTATGCCAGCCTGGTAAAACTCCTGGCAGATGCTCAATAGACCTTGCCAAATTGTCATATTCTTCTGTCCCAAGGATAGATTTACCATTTTCCGTAATGGATTGCTGGCTTTAACAGCATGGCTGAGGGACAGAGAAATCTCTGAGTCTGTGACTTATACGATATAAAAGCTATGAAGTCTACTTCTCACAAGGTCGATCATCAGATATGGAAGGCATACTTGATTAGGGAGAGTTTTGGGGCTTCCATCCCAATAGATTCTCTGTGGGGCGAATTTTTCTTCTTCCTGCAGTTGGGTCTGGACCAGTGTTTGGATCTCAGCACTATCAAGGGTTAGGTTTGTACAGGGGTCTCTCATGTAGCCTTCCCCTACGATCCCACTGTGACTTTGATGGCTTTAAATCTGTTTCTCTCTGAATTTCAGAAACTGCTGTTTGAACCCATTAGAGACATTTCTCTCTCTCTCTACTCTTACCCACAAAGTCATGTTTCTTGTAGCAATCACTTCTGTAAGGCAAACATCTGAACTAGTAGCCTTATCCTGCAAGAAACCCTTTCTAGTTTTGCATAGGGACAAATTGGTGTTGAGGCCCAGGACCTCTTTTTTGCCTAAGGTAGTTTTTGTCAGTGTCCTACTTCAACCAGGACATTGTTCTTTCATCCCTTTGTTTGTTCATAAAAAATTAATTTCCCTCCATTATCAGACTGTAAGAATCTGTCCCTCAGCCACTGCTTCTTTCAGAAAGACTAATTCCCTTTTTGTCATCCTTGATGGGCCTCGTACGGGTGCACCATCTTCTTATTCCAACACTTTCCAAGCAGACCATCATCATAATTTGCAAGGCTGCCACCTGGTCCTCTGTTTACATGTTCTCTAAGGAGGAGGATGTTTCAGTCTCATCTGATGCCAGATTTAGGCATAAGATCTTTCAAATAGCTCTTTGAGATGCAAGCTGTCCCCAGCATTACGTGTTGTCTCTTTCTTGGGCTTGTTAGTGGCTGTTTACTATATCCCCACTCCTCAGTTCAACTGCTTTTGGACGTTCTAAAAGTTAGACTTCCTGTGTTCCTCAATGGATGAGAAAGAAAGTAGAATTTTTGTACTCCCCATAAAATCCTTTTTTTGAGTCCATGAAAGAACGCAGATTCGACCCTTCTGTGTTTTTGATCATGCTTTTAATACTGCTTTGTTCTAAAATTGAGGCATGCTGGTAGTAGAAATGTTATCCTAGGCTGGACTACAGTTTGCTTACCAGTATCCAATCATCCTATAGGTGGCATTATAGCTAGACTGTGTTCTTCAAAGGACTCCAAAAAAGGGATATTACAGTGAATATAAAACTCCTGGTTTTTATTGACTATTTTCATCATGTGTCTGCTTACACTGTATCTTCCTGTTTAAATGCCAAACTTTTTTTTTCTTTTTTTTTTAAGAACATCAAGAAAAGTCCAAGAGGCTAGAAAAATACATGGAGCTGATTAACCACCTTCCTAAAGTAAATCGAGCTACACTAGCTGCGCTGATTGGTCACCTCTACCGGTAACACCTCTACACTTGCCACAACTTTTAAATCATATATTAGTTTACAAATTAAAAATTGAACTCTGTCATGGTTTTCAAGTGTTTAGAATTTAGGAAATAAACTGAGTCAGAGTTTGTAAAATGAAGTGACTTGATATGACCATAGAAATGAACAAACTGGTTTGTTCAAGTCAGAATTCATGAAGGATTACTTCAAACAAAAGTTTGCTTGAACTGGCCAATCCATGCACGGTCTACAGGGCCTTGAAAAAGTATTCATACCCCTTGAAATTTTCCACGTTTTGGGATTTTATGTGATAGACCAACACAAAGTGGCACATAATTGTGAAGTGGAAGGAAAATAAAATCCCAATAAAAAACATTTACATTGTTGGTTGTAACATGACAAAACACTGTATACACCTTCTCTGTTAACTGGTAAAGTGGCCCAAAAGAAACTGGTATAAGGAAACAAAGTACTTCTTTATTTTGTTAGGACAGGAACAGAGATTCTCATATTGGTGACCTGAGATCCCCATTGAGAGTCAGTCCTCTCCAATGGAACATGCCATTTCTGCAGGGCAGGGGAGATGTCTGCTGTGCACTTTTCTTATTAACCATAGTGAACTAGTAAAAGGTCAAACATCGTTACTAGTTCACTCAACAATGGCACACATCAAAAATATTTGCTGGCTGAGACCAAAGCAGGGTCCACTAGCAGTGGTGTGGTTTTTCTCCTCACTAATTACTGACCGTTCATTTGCATATAAACTGGTTCTCAACCAGTGCTTCGTATGTTTATAAAGTATAGTGTCTGTATTGCTCATAATATCCTTCTAATTTCCTATAACCTATACAATGAAATCGTAAAGCTGGAATCTGGCTCATTTGGCTATATTCTTTCACAGAAAACAGTTGAACAGTTGCATTCAAGGCAACCTACCATCAAGAGTGTATATTTTTATATTTATATGGTAGGGATATTGTTTGGTTTTTTTGGTTTTGGTTCAGGCTTTTTTGCAATCCAATGCTTAATTGGCATACAATTGTCCATGCTAGTCATCTCAAAAAAAGTAGTTTTCCTCAGCATGGAGAAGTGCATTGACCTCAGTTTATGTGCATGTTTCAACTTTAGTTTATATGCTTTTATATGAGTTAACATCTGATACTTGTGTCAGTGCACATAGGTAATCAACAACTATAATAAACACAAATGGGTATTCTAAACTTTGTTGTTTAGGATGTATAATTAGGCACTTTACTCTGCAAAATGTTAAACAAATCATTGTTAGGAGATATGTTCAGCTATATGTAAGGCAGAATACAAGGAGAATACAGGCTCTCATGCATGTTCTGTATTTTTTTATTTATTTTTTAGACCATTCTGTAATTGTTATGGACATCATCCATCCAAATGACTAGCAACATATTGTATTTTGTATGGGTCCTTCCCTGGTTTCTAATTAGAAGACCCTTGCAGTTTTGGTAGCAGGTCCCTTTGGCAGGTCTAAAAAGCACACGTCAAAGCCCACTCTACCCCAAGCCTACAATCTGACACAGGTCTGCAAGTAAAGAGGTCTGGCCATTTTACAAGCTGCAAGGGAATTTTTGTTGCTTGTACTTAGTGGCTTTTCGCTGGAGTTTCACTTTAAGTAATATTCATATGTATTGGTCTGCTGTATGGGCAACTTTTGGATGGTGTTCTCTGTTAAAGATTTATCATGTTAAGATGTTCCTTGGTATTTTTTGTATTATAGAAATTACAAATCAGTTTAATACAGTATCCCTAATGATCTTTGTGTATTGCTTTATTAATTTATTTTGTGATATTCCAGGGTCCAGAAATGTGCAGATTTAAATCAGATGTGCACCAAGAATCTTGCACTTCTCTTTGCTCCAAGTTTGTTTCAAACAGAGGGGAAAGGAGAACACGAAGTGAAGATAATGGAGGATTTGATTGACAATTATGCTAGTGTTTTCTCTGTAAGTAATGTACTTAATACATTTTTGTTTAATTGGATGAGTTACTAGTATGTATGTCTGACCTACTGTAGTCATCATAGAAATAAGGGAGCTACTACTGCTGACTTTTCTTTGAATGTGCCAGTTTCAAGGTTGACGTCCTTATCGTTTATTACTTATAGAGTTACTGACTTGGAACAAGCATGTACTATGCTTATTCCAGGTCACTGACTCACCAGGCTGTGAATGAAGTGTAAAAGGATGACAGCCCTGGAGTGTGCATCTTCAGACACATGCAGCTATTGTAGCTCCCATAATTCTAAATATGTTAAAGTCAGTTGACCCCCCCCGTACAGACTCTTCCAAGCAAGGCTGCATGCATGACCAAGATCTCAGATTAGTCCCATACTTTGCTTTAACTGATGAAGCTGATGCCTGGGCTGGCATTTTCTAGCCTGTCCAGTGAGAACAGTGAGATACTGTGCAAAGCTGACTTTTAATCTATAGAGTATGAAGATGGCAATAGGTTCCCCTTTATTTCCATGGAAAGCCATGTATGTATTGTTACTCTTGGCCTCTAACTTCCCAGCTCACAGTGCAGGCTACACATTTATAACAATGTGAGTTTTGTATGGGGCATATTCCAATAGTTAAATACAGCAAGAGGAGCCAGTTTTTCCCTAAATTACTTTAAAGTGACTCTGTGCTTATAAGTATGGGGTCTGCCAACACAGGTCCACTTTTTAAAAAATGTTCCATGGCTGTGCCTGGCTTGGAATATTTTTAACCACAGACCTAGGAAAAACGTGCCGTAAAAAAAGAGAAAGTAGCAGACTAAGCCTGCATTTACAACTGAACAGAGCATATTCCTGGTGATTTTGAACCTTTTTTTACATTTTTCAGGCATTTGAAAGGCTTTTTCCTGGCATATTATAGGCCTATTTCATGTGTTTTATGGGGTTTTTTGCACATGTACCAAACTTCAGGAATTTGTTTCCTAGGCTAAGGAAGTAAAGGAGAGAAATTCTTCAGGTGTAAAAATTCACAAAAACATGTGAATCATGCAATTTCAGGCATTGCCACTTAAGTCTATGGGATCAAAAACTCCTAAATCCACTTAAAACTTGCTCATGTACTTTTTAGAGCATAGGATATAAAGCGTAGAGTGGCTGAGCGTACACGTGTGAACAGGGACAGTTAGAAAGAATGGGGCTCTGCATAGTCAGGTGTAGTAAGACGTTGTCAAGTGCAGGGAAATGAGTAGCAAAAACGCTCAAGTTTGAATGGGTGCATTCTTATAGGAGAGGTCAGTTGTGGCAGCCCCATGCCTTTCTCTAAACAGAGTCACTTTAAAATATATCTAAATCCAAAAACAAAAGTATAGTATATTTCATTCTAACAGTCCTCAAAAGGGTGGCTACATTTGTTTTCATTTAGGCCAAGAATATTTTTCAGTAAATAACTGCTAAATGCAGTATCTCTTTATATCTTCCTATAACAGAAAGCACAAACAAACTTATTTTTCTTGTGTAGGCGAGATATATAGTTTGACTATTTTAGCTTATCAAAAAAAACTGACGCATTTAATTTTTATTTAAGATTGATGAAGAGCAGGTGACACAAATGGATTTGGAAAACAGCCTGATCACAACCTGGAAGGATGTTCAGGTAACAACACATCCTGTAGTGTATCTTTATCATACATTTCATCTAAATGCCGTCTCTTGAAGGATTAAAGCTGAACTCCGTGTACCATCATTCTATAAGCTTTAGAGGGGTTAGTGGCTGTTTACATCGGCTATGTAGTAATTCAATGTTTGTTTTCTTCATACAGCAAAAGGTGCCCTTTAAGTTGTGCTGGATAGTACAGACCCTCACCAACACAAGTGCTATCTGCTGTCTCAATAAAAAAAAAAAATGTGGTTTATCTAAATAAGGGGGAATATGTGACACTTTGGGGTTTATTTACTAAAGCTGGAGAGTCCAAAATCAGACTCCCTTCTGCATAGAAACAAATCAGCTTCTAACCTCAGCTTGTTCAATGAAGCTTTGGTAATGAAACCTGGAAGCTGATTGGTTTCTATGCAGAAGTGAGTCTGATTTTGCACTCTCCAGCTTTAGTAAATAAACCCCATTCTGTCTATCACAATTCAGTCTCTGTTCTCCAATTGGTCTGTCACCCAACCCAAGCATTGTACTATGGTGGGCAGAAAGTTGATAGAAATCTTGAAGGACTTAGATCAAATCCTTGTGAGGTGCCTGCTATAGACCCTGACAGTTAATTAATTAAACCTTGAATGGTACAGGCTTAATATAAATGTTTTCATGTTTAACTGGGGTTTATGTTTACTATAGCCAATACCAAGTGTTGTTCTTGAAGTAATACACTGTGAATAAACATCTAATAATAAAATATATACTTTTCTCCAACAGCTGTCACAAGCCGGAGATCTCATTATTGAGGTTTACTTGGAAAGGAAAGAACAAGACTGTTGTGTTACTTTAAAGGTCAGTGATTAGTGAGCCGTAATAGGATATAGAACTGTAACATGTATAAATACAAGGTTTTTTAGGGTGTCGCTATCCCAAATAAACTATAAAGGGCGAATGTTTTTGTTTACTGGACTTTATGGGCAACCCCTCATGCACTATTTAAAATGACAGAAATGTCACATTTTTATGCTTTCCACTGCATGTAATCATCAACATTTAAACCAGAATTTCAGAGCCGCTGACTTCTAGAAAAAATTTGTGTCAAAACATCCTATTTATAGGCGACTAGTTGTCATATGTTGCAATGATCCCTCAAGGGTAGCCAAAGAAAATTAAGCAACAGTGAGGAGCTGTATCCCTACTTAGTTGATTTGTTCAAAATAGCTGATTATGGTATTCCTGAGGCTGGATTGACACTGTTGCTGTGTGTTATTGCACTTGTTTATTAAGGCACTAATATGCATTGTGTAAGAGCAGTCCATTCATTTAAAACACACCAAAAAACATATACTTTTTCTGCAATGCAATGCACAACAATAAATGGTAGTCTTTCCCTGTGTTGTGTGCAGTACAACATACATGCGTTAGCAAAGTACGTTGGGGTGCAATTAAGAATGCATGGCACTGTGCATTACCACATCATGACAGTGTGAACTAGGCCTAAAGGGACACCCCTGCCCATCAAAATTGCTAAGGACTAAAATTTCAGTATGTAACTCCTAATATAAGCATTACAAATGTTCAAAATTAACTTTTAAGTCTTTTCTAGGTCTCTCCTGTGATGACTGCTGAAGAACTAACCAATCAGGTTTTAGATATGAGGAATATTCCAGCCAGTACAGACATCTGGTTGACCTTTGAAGTTTTTGAAAATGGTGAAAACTGGGTAAGCAAAGGCGATGAAGAATTCATACATATTGATTTAAGAACCACTAATAATAAAACATGGCCAGGATTGTTACTAAACAGGTTATAGTTCTTTTTGTCCATGATGGTTTGAGCCAGCCTTTCTCAACCAGGGTGCCTTGAGGTTTCTTCAGGGGTGCCGTGGCAAAATGTTTGAAAATTGCCCAAAACTTGTATACAAGCCAGGATGTGGATCAAGCCTGCTTTTTTATTACACAAAGCCACAGGTTTTCATTGTGCACCATTACAACCTTCTAACCCCCGGCGTCCTGACAACCAATTACATCATTAGTTGATAAGGAGGATGTCAGCTGCCTGCACAGCATCATAGTTTGACCCTCCCCTGCCCCTCTATCAGTGCTGGGATCACATTAGCTCAGTGATGGAAAAAACTGATGGCAAAGAGAAACACTGGAATACTACTTAGTGTGCAAAAGTGCATTTTCTTTGGAAGAATAAATCACCTCTAATGTTGGGTGTCTTATATGTGTGGATGTTGCTGCGTTATATAAAACTATTAGAATAGTTTTTCACATTTTAGAATGTGGTGCCCATTTAAAATTATGGACAGTCTTGAGGCACCCCATTTTAGCCTCCAGAGTGTCCATAATTTTAAATGGTGCCTCAGGACTGTCCATAATTTTAAAGTGTGCCTTGACTGAAACAAAGGTTGAGAAACACTGGTTTGAGCTCATAGGAGTTGATGCTGGGCACCAGGGTTAAAGGTAAACTTTTTTTTTTAATTTTGGTACAGTGGAGAGGTATTAGGACACCTACCAGTTTTTTTTTTATTGCTGTCTTTGTCCCTGTTAGGGAGATTTATCCTCACTATTTCCCCTATTGACCTTTATCACCAAGAGTGAAAGTGAAAGAAATGTCCACGTTTTGGGTTGTCACCCATAAGTGAAAAATCTTCCAATAGGGACATTAGTTCTGATGACTAGTGACAAACCGCAATTCCTTAACTTTGAGGGGGATTTATTCTCAATTCCGGTTTTTGCTATGGGACAGTAAGTGAAAGTAAATCTTCACAGTAAGACACAGTGGAAAAATGACAGGGGTTATAGTTCTGTTTTAAGTTTTAGAGAAACAAATGTGTGGTTTAGAGACTGAGCATTGTGTCATGCCAAATGAAGAGATTTAACTTTTCAAAATCTTGTATTTTCAGTCGTTATATTGATTTCACTTTTGCAGCAAAAAGCACTCTGCAGCCCCTAAGGTGTTACTGTTTTAATAAAATGGGTATAAATGGATCTTCATCAATCCTGACAAGCCTAGTAATGGCTCAGACAGCATGTAATAACCTAGAAGAGGTGATGTAAAGATAGAATAGATAGAATAAAATGACAGTAATGATGGGCCCACTGACCTCATGGGAACAGGAACTAAAACACCTTCTGCACCCCTTGCAGCTACACAAGGTGTACAGAGAGAAAACCATTAAGATGAAGGGGTATTATAAATATTTTTTATGGGCTTTTGTTCATTTTCAAACCATACAAGTCTATGGGAATATAAAAGCAGATCAAGCTCACTCCTGATCCATTTATACTTACTTCCCCTGAACTCCTCTGCTGCTTCATTCCTCCACTGTTCTAACCCTGTGTAAGCTTCTTATTGGATATGTCAGATTTTAGACAGACTTGATCTCATGTCATCCTGTCAGCGTGAATGGTGTTTAGGCCTGGCAGTTAGCTGCAGAAGCACCTGTGAAGAAACAGTATGGGGAACACATTTAAGTGATCTCAAATACAAGCTGAGTGCACTTGAAAGTGTGATGCTTTTGCCTGTCTAAAATCCCTTAGAATGTGGTGATGTTAAAGCTATGCCTACCTTTCAATGGGCTTGTAATGTAAATTGCAATGATAACCTTAAACTGACCAATTAACAAGACTCTTTCCTGATATTTATTATATTCCTATTTTTCCACAGAGAGACCTTTACATCCCAAGGAGAGAGTCCTGGAGCAAGCCCTACAGTGGTGCAAGCTGGCGGAGCCTAGCTCTGCTTACCTGCTTGTAAAGAAGATTTCATTCGCTGAAGGAATCTGTCTGTTCACAGGTGGATCATAGTCACAGATCTCAAAACTAATTTGTCACTGCCCTTTGTTAAAACAATCACCTTGCTCATATTCTTTACCATAGGCCACTCCAGACTTTGTGAATTGTCATGTTAGACAAGGCTCATACATGGGCACATCAGGCTACTAAAGGTTTTTATTTCTTGGAACCCCTAATCTATAGCATATTCATTCCAAGATGATGGAGCAGTTTGACAGATTTTGACAGTCTGGAAAGGCACCAACCATGAATTTAATTTGGGGTACAATGGTAAAAAATGAGCTAATGCCATATCATTGAATGATCATACACTGCATCCCATCTGAATGTTATCAATGCATTATCTATATTATTATTATTATTATTATACAGTATTTATAAAGCGCCAATAGTTCGCTCAGTGCTGTACATTACAAAGGGAGACAGAACATGTGACAGAACAATACCAATACAATGCAAAACATGAGGGGATCAAGGGCCCTGCTCTTTCGAGCTTACAATCTAGGAGATCACAAGAAAGTTGCAAGCAATACATTCAAGAACAGAGCAATAGCAGCCAAGGTCTATGACAAACCTTCTTTGTTGTTAATCTGCATAATGTGATTCCCTGTATAGGCATTCATTAAGATGATACACGTGGTTAAGACTAACAAGAAAAAATATTCCTCCTTCTACCCTTTCCATAATATCTCAGATGGAGCCCCTACACTGCCCACTGCTAGGTGGCATCCTCGTAACCATGGGCCATAGGTAATAAAGGCATGTAGATGTGTTTTATATTCTATTAGATATGCATTGAAGAGAACTGTCTACTGCCATGATTACAGAGATGCTGCTTAGCTATCACAGTGAAGAAATATAATTTTCTTTGCGAAGCACCATTATGTATTCTTATTTGTTAGTCCAAACCACACTTGAATTAATTCATTCTCTGAACAGCTCATCTCACTCTACTGCCCTATCCGAAAGCATTTGTTCTGTGTTTATATTAGAGCAGCAATTCACAACAAAGGTTTCCGAGTTACAGACACCAGTGATATTTTTTGCTGTCTATAAAGAGAGCAGCCTTAAAGATTCTCAGTGCTTCTGCTGTGAATCTGAGGATGAACTACTCCACAGTGCCTGCAGCTACAGAGGTCAGTAATGTCCATAGCCTAACCACAAGTTCACACTAAACGTTACAGGATTGCATGGTTATTTAAATGTTTGTGCTTTCAAAGTATATGTATCTTTAACACATAATAAAGATTTTTAAAAACGTAAGCATCGCTAACTTATATGTGTCCATTAGGTACAAAGAGGGAAACCCCAAAATGTGGCTTGTTGAAATGCAGAGAAGAAACCCCAAAGCTGCTGGCCTGCAAATTTCAGGAGAGATATTTTTGTTATCAAGGATCGAAAACTGCTTCTGCTTAAAAGAAAAAAAGGTGTAATGTCTAAAACCCCTTTGATCCTTTCTCTTCTTCATCCCATCTTTTTATTTTCTCTCCTCTTCCTTGCTTTCATGCTTTTTCTTTTTGATTCTAACAAAAACATCAATCAAGAATTGGATAACAAAACAGGAGTATTGAAAGTGTATCTTTTATTACTGGTTACACCTTAGGTCCAGCAATAATAATAAAAAGTAATTTTTCAATGTTTTCACTTGCGGTTCACAAAACTTTCACCCAAGATTAACACTTGTTTTTTTTTTACATAAGATTCAATTGGAAAAATGTCTGATTTTTTTAAACATTTTTATCCTTAGTTACATCCTAAGGCTGCTGATTTCTTGCAGCCTTTTTGCAGCTATTTACTGTTTACATGCACTACAGTGATGGATACATAGAATTTCTCGGGATGGGTTTCCCGATAGTGACAGCAGTAAACCGCGCCTGCATAGTGTTTGTGGACACACACTTGTGGTCTCCATTGGATGTCCGTATGGGCAGGTGACAATGCAGTAGAACAATTGAGAGACAGGGGCAGAATGTTGTCGCCCCATGACATGAAGGGGTTGAATTACTAAAACCGGAGAGTGTAAAATCTGGTGCAGATGTGCATGGTAGCCAATCAGCTTTTAACTTCAGCTTGTTCAGTTAAGCTTTGACAATAAAACCTGGAAGTGGATTGGTTTCTCTGCAGAGCTGCACGCTCTAGTTTTCAGAAATCAACCCAGAAGTATGTAAACAAGGACCTTCATGGTAGGACACCAAGCATTATTTTAAAGAAAGCTGCAGAATTTGACTTTTGAAATTACATCATTTTATTTTACTAATTTAGTTTACATAATTACATATATTTTAAATCTCTCAGTAACAAAGAAATATACTCACCTCTGAAGCCCTAACCTAAGCATCATAGTCACTGTGAGTATTATCTTTTGTTACAGAGCTCCAAGCCAGAAAGAGAATGGACTCTTGAAACTGCCAAGGTTTACATGGGAATTAGAAAGAAAGTAAAGCCACCATCTCCGTATGTTTTTCTTTCATATATATTCTTAGAGTAACTGTTTAAAATATCAAAAATGCATTGATCACATGTGAATTGGGCATCATATAATAATAAAGGCTTTAAATTTATTGTTGTATAAAAATAATGATACAACTTGTGTTGGCAAGGATTCTTATGAAGTAGACGTGACTGATATGAAGGACTAGGTCATATGTGAAATATAGAAACAGAAAAAACTTTAGTTTCAAGATTAAAAACTTCCTCTTATATGCCTGTTCTGTCCTTATGTCACATCAGCTGTTGTATTCTGCAATACACATTAGCTGATCCATTACTGTGTCTGTTTGAGACTGTTTGAGAGTTAATTGTTTTAGTTATGCTATGTTTCCAGAATAAAAAATGTAATGGTCAAATAGCTTCTATTCAATTATTCACTAAAATGATGTCGTGCAAAATGCAGTTGTTCATCACAGGCAATTCCATTGTTGTTTTCTGTAATCGGACTGATAAAAATATTAATCAAGATTGGTTAAAGTGTGTAAACGCAGAAAAAAAATTATATATATATATATATATATATATTTTTTTTTTTTTTTTTTTGCAGTTCATCAATCTTTGGACGTGGTGACTGCATTCGTTTTTCCTGCTTTATTTTCATCTGGTGATGCTGCAAATTATAGATTCCTGTCCTAGGGTCGTAATACTCTCTGTGCAGTATAGAGAGGCAACATTGTCACACTATGACAGAAAGGGTTTTATTTACTAAAGCTGGAGAGTGCAAAATGAGGCTTGCTTCTGAATAGAAACCAATCAGCTTCTAACATCAGCTTGTTCAACTAAGCTTTGGCAATAAAACATGGAAGTGGATTGGTTTCTATGCAGAGGTGAGCCTGATTTTGCACTCTCCAGCTTTAGTAAATAAACCCTAAGGTGTTTTGGAGCAACTGAACACCTGTCCTTTTTTCCATAACATAGAAGGGAGGTGTTCTGTAGTCCACTGAGAGAACTGGGAATGATGTTAACTGGTAACAGAGAGCAGAGGCAGAGAGCACAGAAAGTTATCAGCTCACAAGATTTCTCTGTTATTTTTCATTTGCTCTTTTTGGATATACGTACCTAAACATTTTTCATGGTATATTTAACTAACTAAAATGGATATAACAAGAGAATATAATTTTTATAGGTTTAAATCACATACACTTTAAAATAAGCTTTATGTTCTGCTCTGCCTTACTGTATTACCCTTCCAGTGCTTTATTGCATTTTATTCATGCTGATTGCAATTCCTTGTTTTTTCACTAGATGGGGCTTCACTATACATTTGGATAAACAGCAGTTGTAAGTATTGTGTGTGCTAAGAGACTTGTGGCAGCTGATAATGATTGCTTATATATTACTGGAAAACTGGAACTATGTATAGATATAAAAATGTATTTATATTGCATACTTTGCAGGTGCCTCTGCTGCACAACACAGCCAGAGATGTGGGACTGGATCACTAGCATTCTTAAAGCACAGGTAATATAATAATATGCATAACATGCATAGTACTTAAAATAACTAATTAAGGAAAGGTAATATAACACATTGGGATTGATTTACTAAAAGTAGAGAGTGCAAAATTTGGTGCAGCTGCACTTGGTAGCCAATGAGCTTCTAACTGCAGCTTGTTTAATTAAAGTGACATTAAAGTTAAAAACATTGTTTACCTTAATGCATTCCTTGCATTAAGGTAAAAATGTTTTGTATTTATTTGCCCCCACTTCCCTGTGTGAAGGGGAAGAGAGGGGATAATAGATCCAGTGCTGTGCACTGCTGCATCTCCTCACCCTTCTCTTCCTGCTCACACAGCACTCAAGCACTGTCAATCAAATGAAGTGAGGAAGACGTAGGAGGTGGGGCTAGGTCCTGCTGTGTAATTCTATGGAGCGTACAGACACTGTGTGCCCCTATAGCAAACGGCTTACCATGGGGACACACAAAGAAGAGGACCCCGCCAAGATCGCCGCCGGGGGACTTAAGAAGACGAGGATTGGGGCCACTCTGTGCAATACTACTGCACAGAGCAGGCGAGTATAACATGTTTATTATTTTAATTTAAAAAATGTTGACTTTAGTAACACTTTAAGCTTTGACAAAAAAAACCCAAAAAACTGGAAGCTGATTGGTTTCTATGCAGAGCTGTACCAGATTTTATACTCACCGGTTTTAGTAAATCAACCCCATTGACTATGTAACTTTCTGTGTTATGAAAGCAGGATAATTGATAGCTATTTCACCAACTTATAAACCACTCCAAACCAAACATTTTGCAAAGTGGACATCTGTTTTTGTTCAACAAATCACGCAGCAGGAACAAATACTTTCTGCAGTGCAATGATGCTTCTGTAGCTTCAGGACACAGAGTATCAATTTCACACAAAACAGGTCCATCCAGCAATGAATCCCTGCATTCCAGTTAAAGTATATGTGAATCCCAAACAAAAATGTAGTATATTTCAGCTTATCAGTCCATAGATGAGGTCACCGGGTATTTATCGTCCATTGACAGACACAGGAATAGTAGCTAATCTTAGACTGATGGGTTAAACTGTGGCTTTCAGGAGATTGGAACACTGGTAAACAAAAAACATTAAGTCACTCCCCCAGTATAACCCCACCTCTAACTGTCATACAGTACTTTAGTTTTTGCTAGTGTCCTAGGAGGCTGGATGCTTCTCCCTTAGCTATCCAAGTAAAATTCTAAGTATATTTCATTCTAAATACTTGGAATAATATTGTCCTATGGGTGCACTCAAGGGTTAAGGATATCTAAGCCTGAGCTGCTCTTTAACCAATTGTCTACCCGCACTGTTTATAAACTGCAGCTAATAGCAAGGGTTTTCAAATACACTCTCAGCTGCTATGGTCAGTTTTCTGTTGGAAAGATCACGATCTGTGCCTGATTAGCTTCAGTGGGTTCCATAGGTGACATTAGGGGTGTAATAGACCCATGATTCACTCTAAAGAGCACTTCTCATTTCTACTGTGCTATCACATGAGGGGCTGTCTCCCTATTTAATTGCAATGAAGTTAAATGTAATCAGAAAGGTAATACAATTAAAGTAACATAAAACAATTTACAAATTACATAAAACAACAGTGAAAGCAATAATAGGACCATCATTCATGGTTAACTCTAAACTGATAACCTGTAAAGGCTTTTAACCTCCCTAGCGGTATTCCCGAGTGTAGCTCGGGGTAAAATGTCAGTACCAAAAGCAGTAACCCCGAGCTACACTCGGGCTTACCATGCGGCGCTGCATAGGGATTCCCTGCAGAGCTAACCTTGTCCTGCGCTTCTGCGATGTGTCCCCTGCAGCGTCCCCGGCCATCTCCTCCGGCCAATGCCGGCATCCGGCTTCTGTGTTCCGGTCCCTGTGACGTCGGGACGTACGGGCGCCGCCGGCGGCGGGAAATTTGAAAATTTAAAAAAATGTCATTTTTTTCCAAACAAATTTTACATAGTAAAACATTGCTGTTTCAACCCATTTCACATACATTTTGTCCCTAGTGCTTTGTCCTGTGCCCTGCCTGCCTTTTTACTGTTCTTTCTGCCTGGCAACTTAGAAAAGTGCATGGCGTCCAAAAAGTGTCCCTTTAGGTCAAAAGCGGGTTTATATCAGCTAGAGAACAGCGATAGTAAATCGGAACCACTTGCAGAATTGAGTGATAATGATTCGTGGGGAAATTCGTCATCAGACACTGAAAACGATTTTGCAACTTTGCTCAGCAATGTGCGAACTTGGAGCTATATTTCAAATTTCAGTGTTTTCGGTTTGATTATATTATTGAATTAAATGTATTATTATTATATTATTATTTTTTATGATTATTTATTAAATTATAATTTATGATTTTCGTGTTTCAAATTTTATCATACCCGGGATGTTTAATAGACTCTTGTTTGGACAGATTTCAGTGAGTTATTCCTAAAAATTACAGGCCTACAATAAAACAACGACATATTTCCATGCAAAATAATGGTACCGCTTTCAGCACCAAAAATCTGAAATAATCATACCGCCAGGGAGGTTAAAACATTGCTATGGACGCCTTTGAGTACCAGATTTTCTTCACCGTTTCACAGGTGCATACAGTTTTAAGGCTTGACATGTTGGTAACTGCTTACATGATACAACCTCATCTTTTATATTTTTCAAAGAAGGGTAATATATTATGGCCATGTGCACTAATGTTAAAGTGCAATTCCGCTGCATCTGAGCACCACAAACACATTACTGGAGGGTTAAAATGGCCCATTAGTGCTGGACAATTTTGAATAAGCGGTTACACTATATAAACCACTAAGAATAAGAGTCTTTACTGTTTAAAATCAATTGGTACACTGTGTCACCCTGTTCTGCACATGCTCAGTTGCTCTCTTTTTCTGCAATATGCCAAAAATATAGCCAATTTACAGCACACACTCATTTTGGCAGCATAATTATTAATGTGGAATGTATGTTTAATGCTAAAGAACATTATTTTTTAACAAGTTGTTATGAGTAAAATTCCACCCTAATTTGTTCCCCCTGGAGTTTGAAAACTCTTATCAGTATTTACATAGTTAGTCTGGCTGAAAAAAGACAAAAGTCCATCCAGTTCAACCATAAAAAAAAAAGTTATAATCCTACACCCACAGTTGATTCAGAGAAAGGCAAAAAAAACAGCAAAGCATGATCCAATTTGCTTTCTGATCATCCAAGAGGCGTTTGGATATTCCCTGGATCAACTTTACCTATAAATGTTAGTATCCAATTATATTCTGTGTATCCAAGAAAGAATCCAGGTCTTTTTTAAAGCAATCCACTGAGCTGGCCAGAACCAACTCTTGAGGGAGTCTATTCCACATTTTAACAGCTCTTACTGTGAAGTAACCTTTCCATACTTGGAGATTAATTTTCTTTTCCTCCAGTGCCCCCTTGTCCTCTGTGATGACCTCAGGGTAAATAGCTCTACGCCGAGTTCACTATATGAATCACTGATGTATATATTCATGTTGATCATATCCCCCCTTAACCACTTCCCCTCGGCCCATGTATATAAACGGCCAGACGTTAGCAGTGCAGGGGCGGGTGGCCGTTTATAAATGTCCTCCCTGATTCCCTGCTTGTGAGCGCTCCCTGAGAGCGCACAGCACCATGATCCAATCGTTGTACAGGACCTCTGTGTGAGGTCCCGATCATGTGATCACTGATTGGCCAATCAGTGATCACATGAAGAGTAGTAAGCAAGATATCACTTGTGACATCATTGCTTACTACGTGTGAAATCTGTGAATGATCACAGAGATCACATGGTACAAGGCTATTCACAATAGCCTTGTACCATGTGACAAGCTGTGACCAATCACAGCTCACACAGTATTTCTCAGTGGCTGCAAGAATGCAGCCAGAGAGAAGGAGAATTGATTGCTTTTACAGCCTTTATGGGTGTAAAACCAATCACTGTAAAAAAAAAAATCTTTGTCACCCCCCACAAGTAGTACAGTGCCACTATGGCGACACTGTACTGCTAGGGTGATGGTATGTTAAAAAAGAAGAAAAAAAACATAAAGATATAAATAAAAAATAAAAAAAATTTTTAAATATAATTTTTGGTTATAAACTAATTTGTTTTTTGTTTTGTTTTTTTTTACTAAAAAGATAACTGAATAAATGTTGGCCAAGATTTATGAAGAAAGATAATTTATTTGCAAAAAAAACACCTTTTTTCAAAATGTTTGGACTTTTTCATTTATATAGCAAAAAAAAAAAATCCCAGTGGTGAATAAATACCACCAAAATAAAGTTTTATTTATCTAAAAAAAAATGCAAAAAAATGCATATGGGTACAGTGTTGCATGACCGTGCAATTGTCATTGAAAGTGTGATAGCACTGAAAGCTGAAAGTTGGCCTGGACAGGAAGGGGGTGAAAGTATCCGGACTTGAAGTGGTTCATCTCCTCTTCTCAAGAGAATAAATAAATTCAGTTTCTCTAATCTTTCCTCATAGCTGAGCTCCTCCATGCCTCGTATCAGTTTGGTTGATCTTCTCTGTACTTTCTCCAGTTCCCCAATGTTCTTTTTGTGAATTGGTGCCCAAAACTGAACTGCATATTCCAGATGAGGTATTACTAATGATTTGTACAGGGGTAATATGATATCTCTCTCTCTGGAGTCTATACCTCTTTTAATACTAGAGAGGATTTTGCTCTCTTCAGAAACCGCAGCTTGGCATTGCATGCCATTATTAAGCTTGTGATCTACCAGAACCCCCAGATCCTTCTCCACCATTGATTGCCCCAGTTGTACCCCCCTAGTATGTATGATGCATGCATATTCTTAGCCCCCAAATGCATAACCTTACATTTATCAACATTAAACCTCATTTGCCACATAGTTGCCCAATTAAACAGTGCATTGAGGTCGGCTTGTAAATTGGAGACATCCTGTAAGGACGTTATTCCACAGCTTGGTGTCATCTGCAAGACTGAAACAATATTTTTAATCCCAGACCCTATATTGTTTATAAATATATTTAAAGGTAACGGTCCAAACACTGAACCTTGGAGTACACCACTGACAACCCTAGACCATTCAGAGTATGAATCATTGATCACTACTCTTTGAGTACGATCTTTTAGCCAGTTTTCTAACCATTTACATACAGATTTTTCCAAGCCCGTAGACTTTACCTTACACATTAGCCATGTGTGGGGAACTGTGTCAAATGCTTTTACAAAATACAAGTATACACGTCCACCGCCACCCCTCTGTCCAAGGTTTTGCTTACCTCCTCATAAAAAGAAATCAGATTTGTTTGACAATTTCTGTCTTTCATGAATCCATGCTGTCTGTTGCTTAAAATATTTTTTTCCAGCAAGACCTCATCTATATGGTCTTTTATTAAACTCTCCAATCTCTTCCCAGCTATAGATGTTAAACTAACAGGTCTATAATTACTTGGTAAAGATTTTGACCCCTTTTTAAATATAGGCACCACATTGGACTTACACCAATCTAGGTACTATGCCAGTCATTAAAGAGTCCCTAAAAATTAGAAACAATGGCTTTGAAATGACAGAGTTCAATTCTTTAAGGACCTGTTGGTGTATGCCATCCGATTCTGGTGCTTTATTCACCTTTATACTGTCTAAATATTTGTGGATCATATCAATTGTGAGCCAATGTAGATCATCTGGAGCTGTGTCGATACCATTGCCCAGTTTGCTTCTCTTTGTCCCCAGTCACCCACTCTAGATTATTTTGTAAAGGGCCTACATGCTCGGACCGAACCTTTTTACTATTAATATATTTGAATAATTTTTTGGGGTTTGTCCTGCTATCTTTTGCAATGTTGTATAGGTACAAGTGTACCTAATAAAATGACCGGTGAGTGTATATTTTTGAAAGCAATCTTACTGCAGCATTTCTTCACACCTGCCTAAAAATTTTAAACAGTAATGTATACTAACTGAAAAAAAAAATATATATATATATATAAAAAGTTTCACTTTTAACAAAAAAATTAAATATACTCATACACAAACATCACAAACTATTTTTATGAGGATACAATATTTTAATGATGCAATATTTATTAATAAAAACACAATTAATGTTTTACAGCATGATGACCTCCGCCCAGTGATTTTAAGACGTCATTCCTCCTCCGATGTGACCAAGCAGAAGTTTGGGACTATGCCTTTAGTACCGATTCGTGGGGATGACACCAACTCTACTATGGTGACTGCTAATCAGACACTAGTAAGTTTCAGTGAAGTAGCTCCAAGGATGATCAAGGCAAATTGGTGATGCAGCCATGCAATACATGATATTGTGCATTAACTCAGAAAACTTTGTGAAAAAATAATGGTATTTGTGTGAGTTACATCAGTTAACTGCACATACAGTGAGGAACAGAAGTATTTGAACACCCTGCGCAGGATCCTCTTTGCAACTGTTCCCTGAAAACCCACTTAGAAATCATGTAGGGTACCACTACCTTGTTTCCCCCCCTCTATTGTACCCTGAGATTGGCGTAAGCTCAATGTAATGTAATGTAATGTAATGTAATTTTGCAAGATTTCTCCCACTTAGAAATCATGGAGGGGTCTGAAATTCACATTGTAGGTGCTTTCCCACTCTGAGAGACAGAATTCAAAAAAAAAATTCCGGAAATCACATTGTTTGATTTTTAAAGAATTTATTTGTCTTGCACTGCTGAACATAAGTATTTGAACACCTGAGAAAATCAGTGTTAATATTTGGTACAGAAGCCTTTGCAATTACAGAGGTCAAACATTTCCTGTAGTTCTTGACCAGGTTTGCACACACTGCAACAGTGGGATCTTGGCCCACTCCTCCACATAGATCTCCTCTAGATATGTCAGGTTTCGGGGCTGTCGCTGAGCAGCACGGAGTTTCAGCTCCCTCCAAAGATGTTCTATTGGATTTAGGTCTGGAGACTGGCTAGGCCACTCCAAAACCTTGATATGCTTTTTATGGAGCCACTCCTTTGTTATCCTGGCTGTGTGCTTCGGGTCGTTGTCATGTTGGAAGACCCAGCCACGACCCTTCTTCAATGCTCTGACTGAGGGAAGGAGGTTGTTGCTCAAAATCTCACAATAAATGGCCCCATTCATCCTCTCCTTAATACAGTGCAGTCGTCCCGTCCCCTTCGCAGAAAAGCACCCCCAAAGCATGATGTTACCACCCCCATGCTTTACAGTAGGGATGGTGTTCTTGGGATGCAACTCATCCTTCTTTTTCCTCCAAACACGACGAGTGAAGTTTAGACCAAAAAGTTCTACTTTGGTCTCATCTGACCACATGACTTTCTCCCATGCCTCCTCTGGATCATCCAGATGGTCATTGGCAAACTTCAGACGGGCCTGGACATGTGATGACTTGAGCAGGGGAACCTTCTGTGCAATGCATGATTTGAAACCATGATGGCATAGTGTTCTACCGACAGTGACCTTTGAAACTGTGGTCCCAGCTCTCTTCATGTCATTGACCAGCTCCTCCCTTGTAGTTCTGGGCTGATTCCTCACCTTTCTTATCATCAGTGATACCCCACGAGGTGAGATCTTGCATGGAGCCCCAGTCCGAGGGGAGACTGACAGTCGTCTTTAGCCTCTTCCATTTTCTAACAATTGCTCCAACAGTTGATCTATTTTCACAAAGCTGCTTGGCAATTGCTCCGTAGCCCTTTCCAGCTTTGTGGATGTCCACAATTTTGTCTCTGGTGTCTTTTGACAGCTCTTTGATCTTGCCCATGGTAGTAGTTGGTGTCTGACTGACTGTGGGGTGGACAGGTGTCTTTAAAGAGCTCAGACAGGTGCTACTAAGTTAGATTAATGAGTGGAGTAGAGGTGGACTTTTTAAAGGCACAGTAACAGGTCTTTGAGAGCCAGAATTCTTGCTGTTTCTTAGGTGTTCAAATACTTATGTTCAGCAGTGCAAGACAAATAAATTCTTTAAAAATCATACAATGTGATTTCCTGAATTTGTTTTTTAAATTCTGTCTATTAGAGTGGGAATGCACCTCCAATGTGAATTTCAGACTTCTCCATGATTTCTAAGTGGGAGAACTTGCAAAATCGCAGGGTGTTCAAATACTTCTGTTCCTCACTGTACCTGAAACAGCCTACACCAGAACAATGCTAGTTGCCAACTTGATCTCATTACATATGTTGAAAAAATAGGGGAACACAAATCATACATTTTCAAAGTGTATATAGCCTGCCCCACCCAAATCTGGCCCTTGATACTGACTGGAAGTGATGGGGCATTCTATCGAAAAATAATATCAAATGCTACATGAAGGATATGTATGGAGAATAGCTTCTCAGTGTCTCCTTATGATGTTGCCTTTGTTACTGCCCATTCTGGCAATTTTGGCATCATGTGACTTTCCCTCTTCTCATGATAGAGTGCTGGTTGCCTGAGGTGCCAATCACAGACCAAACTTTTTTATTATCATTTTGGAATAAAAATAAAATTAAAATTAATATCAGTGTCAGTTAGTGTGATTTAGATAGGATAAAAAAAGCAAAATGCATACTATTGTTTCTGGGCTGTACTACGGGGTACAAACAACAACTAAGACACACATTTGTGGTATTACTGCAATCATCAGGAGCAGGAGAATTTATGTTGTGTTGTTTTTTTGGTGGCAGGTTATGGTAGTAGTAAGAAATATACAGGTAAATTTTAAAAAATGTATGTATACAAAAAAAAAAAAAAAAAAATCAGAAGTCCAATTTGTCCTGAAAAAAGCAAGGTATAATCCACCTGGATGCACAAAGCAGTTGTGATGCTATTTACAGTTTTATTAATATATGTCAAGGTTGCAAAATTGTGCTTAGGCATTAACATTTGTTTTACCCATAGGCGTGAAGGTGTTACAGTGGTAGTAAACTCTTTTTGTATACTTTTACCTACAGGTGAGATTATAATAAAGTATAATAACACTTACCTGTAGGTAAAATGAATATCTCCTAAATGTGCACTGTTTGGGAGATATGCGCTCTTTTTGAAAGCTGGCTCTTTCACTCTGAAGAAACGGCATACCCATGCTATTCCTTCGGAGCACTGTGCCGTGGCCTGGGATTCCCCACGTGTATGTACAGGAGTGGCATCATCATGGCTTGGTCAATCAGATGGCCTGAGCTCACGAACCCAAAAGGAAGAACGGGTGAAGATGGAAGCCTCTGCAGCAGTGACAGCGTGCTGCTGAAGGGCTTCGTTTTAAGGTAAGTATGCGATGCATATTAGCACATTATCACATTACCTTGCAGGAGATTTTTTTAATATTTTTTTTTAGGTGCAGTTTACTACCATTTTAATAAAGAAACAAATAACATAAAGAACAGCTTTGAGATTTACAAATGAGAGCCATTCAACCGAATGCTTAAAACAAAAAAAAGGTTGAAGGAGGAGAGTCCTGGCAAATTCAGGACAGGACTCTGCTCCAGTCACAAATGGCACACTACAGACTCCACACTGTGCTCTGCATTATATAAATGACCTGTAAACTGCAGGCATGTCAGTGCATATGTACAAGCTTCCTGTTGTTTTAATACTGCTGGTTCATACATCTGTGCCATCTGTTTCCAATGGGGAAATTTCCCTTCACTTCCTGTCCTACAGCCAAAACAGGAAGTGAGAGGGAATCTCTCCAAAGTGTGGGAATCCTGGGGTGTCACCAGGGTCCCCATTGGTAGACTTTCTCTTTTAGTGTTCTAATGTCCCAAAATTTGGGATTTTCTTTTACTTTCAATGATAATGGTTAACAGGACAAATAGAGAGTGAATCTCCATAATGAGGGCTTTGACAACAATAAAAGCCAGACAAGACCTCTATTACTTTCCACCCTATCCAAAGCTAAAAAAAAAGGTTTGCCTTTAGTTACAGTTTAACCAGCAATATGGTAACAGCAGACATTGTTGACTCTGAAAATATTCTATGAAGTCAAGAAAAAGATAAATATAGAAGTTTTCTGAAGGCAGCAAAGCAAGATAACCCACTGTAGTTTCAGTATGATGTATTACTTCTCTTTAGCCAGCCAGATGAATGATGTCTGTTTATTCTAAAGAAAATAGTTTGACATCAGACTAGTTTACAAGATCTTATCTGCTAGTGGTCAAGTAAAGTCAAGGTGGAAAAGTCAGACACAAGATAATGAAGGTCTGTATGCAGTCATCCTCATGCATTTTGTCTTTTGTGCTGCTTATTCCAGAGAAATGGTCAAGATGCCAAATGACTGCATTATGCAAAATTAGCCAGATGGATCCAAATCTAGTTGAGACTAAGGGATCCAGTAATGAACTCAAGTCCAGTTTTTTGTGGTTACATTTTTAGCAAATACAGAAAATCCCTGTTGATCTTGCTAGAAATGCAATGTCCTTGTCACGCCCTGTGGTCTTAGCTGAAAGCATAAAACAGTGTAATTTTTCTTCTGTACACTACTAATCTAACCACTACTTATGTAAACAAAGATAAACAAAGGCAGACATGTCTGTCTAGCCCAGGTGGCAACTGGTGGCACTTTCAGTTAGTATGCAATCAACCAGGCCATTGCACTGCATAGTTGAAGGTAAATGTATAGAAAATTGTATAATGTATGGCCAGCTTAAGGAATGGTGAACTGGAATATTACATTTTTGTTCTTGGGTTAATATATGTATGCCTTGATGGATAAGTTCATGTTTGGCACATGTTACATATTACACCATCATTTGGGGTGTAACATGTAGCATGCCCCAGCACCTTCTTTCATCACCCACCTGATCCCTTCCCCCCACTCTGTAACAGTGGGCAGGGGGTTCTTTACACTGCAGCTTCTGTCACATTCAAAATTGAGATGACTATGCAGGGCTCCACCTACACAACCCTATTATTCATTCACTAGGATCTGTGAATGAATAAACTACAAGTCCCCTCTGAAGAGGACAGTCTGGCAGACAGAATTGTAGTTCTCAATGGACTGTGAGGGTGCTCCCATAGGCCATTAGCACTTTCTAAAGCTTTCTGACAGAAAGCCCATACAGAGGTAAGAAAGCTGGAAGACATATCTGCAGGAGCCTAACATTGCACCCCCAATAATCGTGGGTGCAATGCTTTGCAGGCTCCTGGAGACATAAATATTAAATGCATATTTTTTTACTGCAAAAATATCTGCATTTATTATTTTTCCCTAAAAGCTTAAAGTGCAAGTGAATCCACTGATTTAACGGTTTTCCAAAACAATTACAATTAAG